AACACTGTTTTACATATTTATGTTTGTCCCTACTACTAGTGCTGCCTCTCGTGACACGTTCGCTGTACTATTCTCAGGAAAAAGGCTCATTGAGAGCAGGTAAATAATATTTTTTATGATTTTGAATAAAAAGAAAAGAATAATATTTACGCCTTACCTCGAGACTACAAAAATTGTGAGTTTCAAGCAATTCATAATAGGGTATTCCCTACTGAAATAATTCGACAAGCAGTCTTTTTTGATTCAGGATACTTAGATTCTAATATAAATTTCCAAAATTCAATAATCGACATCCACTTATTTTTAATTGCAGAGCTTGATCTTCTTGCATCTCTATTAATTTGGGTCATAATTATAGTGGAAATAATGAACTCACCTTGAATTATGTTGATTTCAAAAGGATTCAGAAAAACATCAAGAGACTGTTTAAAATATTTCAAGTCTTGAAATCTATTTTGGAATTTTGGAATGTTTTGTTTTTAATGTATTATTGGAAAAATTGTAATTTAGTTTGAAAAATAAATAAACACTTTGAGAGGTATCTTTCCCCTGCATTTGTGAATTCAATGTTTGCAAATGTTACATGAAATCAGTCAGAAACATAAAGTCTTGTAACCACTCGTCATCGTCTAATTCTGCAACATTCCACTTAGTCTTTCATATTCACCTAGCACTGAGAAGTTGAGATTGTTTTGTTTTATATATAGTTACCATTATTATAGTCAGTTTTGTTTCTGAATATAAAGCCAATAAGTCAAATATCTTATTTTGCCGAAAATAGGAAATTACAGGAATTTAAAGAAAATCACATTTTGCAGGCAGGCGGTTGTCTATACTTGATTTTTGTTTCCCAATGCATCAAAATTAAACTTTCATTTTCATTCATGCTCAATCACAAATAACAAGATGTCACATAAACATCTTTTATGAAAATATTTTAATATGTCTGGTTGAATTTTAAACTTTCTGCAGTTGAAAGTAAAACACAAAATGGATACAGAATAAGTACAAATAGAAAACACGTATAATATTTTCGAAGAAAGGAAGAAAGACAGCAATCAAGATCAAATTAAACTCTTGTCAAAAATGTGAGGATCATGCATAGAAGTTATTTTTAGATTCACACTGGAAGAAAAGCCCCTTGGAAACAAATACTATCAAATGAGCATCGAGTTATATGAAAAAGTACTTTCGAAAAACTAATTTCATATGAACATTGAATTATACGAAAATCACTTTTTCCTATTCATTTTGTTATCTAAGCCTTTGTTACAGAACTGACGAAGCAGTTATTTCTTTCATTTCATTGCGGATTATATTATTCTATATAAGAGAAATTTCATATCGATACTCTATCATATATTAAATTGTGAAGCTTTCCTATGAAGAATAGATTGTCGCGAGATTTACCTATTTCATAAAAACAAAATGAAAAATGTTTTGACCATCAATTTATTTTTATTTTTTAGTTATCACTGGATATTTGTTCGGACACTACTAAACTATTCCTAAACTTTGCCAAATTATTAATCATTAAAATTGGTATGGTGGCCATACCATTTTGAATGATTACCCCTTGGAACACCCTCATTTGATATACACATCACGAGGGTGCATCAAAAAACAGTTCACATTTTTGGGTGTCTGCCATATTGAATTACCACTGACGTCATGTTACTGTTCATATTCTTTTAAGCAAATCCTTTCATTTGATCCTATATCATGAGAGCGCATAAAATATTAAGTCTGCATCTTGGGAGGTCCGCCACATTAGATTTAAAGTGAAGTCATGTTAGTTGTCGTATTCATTTCAGTAAACCCTTTGATTTGATACTAATATAATGGGGATAAAAAAAAGTAGTCCGCCATATTGGATTCAGGGTGAGTCATGTTAATTTTCGTATTCTTCTCAGCAAACTCTTTCATTTGATACCACTTTTCAAGCTGTACAAGATGGCACTTACAAATATTTTCCTGAAGTTTCATATCCGCCAAACCACCAATTTTAATATTTATATGGGCTGGAGAAAAGAATCACTTTGTATCTCTTACGGTTTCCCATGTTGGTCCTTCTTATCTTGGACATATTGTATACAAAAATATTATTTCTTAATTTTTAGCCGGTCTGGCATTATTATAAATTTTTTACTTCTCGCCGCGCATTCGTACCATGAGACCAGATTGGTTTGCCCATTTTAATTTTTTTCTTACATGAACTAGAATCTGACCAAGGTTTTAATATGGTTTCTCTTTGACAGGCCTTCACATTTATACTTATGTATTCACATCTTGAAAATCATTGGACTAATTTTAATGAAACTTGCACTGTTGCAATGGTCACAATATGACTGATAGTTTCAGAAGTCAGTAAAAAAAGATAATTTTTTCAAATAAGATAAAAAAGTACCTCCTTAAACCTTCAAAAGGTTGAAATAAATGGATAACAACTATATTATGAAATACCACTTAGAATGGAGTAACAGGATTACTGGCTAATGACTTTAAAAATGTTAGTTGGGTTTAAGTTGAAATCATACCTTTCTGCCTGCTTCAATCTTATATCGCTTGCATCCAAAAATTCTTCAGCTCTAAATGTCACCAAATCAATTTCAAAAAATTTATCTGCCCCAACGATGAGACTATTTTCAGTGAACAAAGCACAACTAACAGGTTCTGCAGTATCTAGTATCCTAGCAGGCACAAATTCTTCAATATCTGATTCATAACTGAGAACTACCAGCTGTTTGGCAGTGGCGACACATATCTTCAATTGACTGGTGAAACTTGAGACCTGAAGTATGTGGAAACCGTTTAATCCTGAGATATCCACATCTTTATAGTTGAGTTTCGGTTTCGAGCACTGAGCACACTGTGCTAGATTGATCAAATGATTGATATCACAGACAATTAGTGTTCTCTTTTCATTGACAATCATCAAAACACAGTTAGTAGAAGACATGATTGAGATATGATGGACTTCCTTCAAACCATCGATATGAACCAAGTTTTTCTCGAAATAAGAATATAGGCCTTGTTCAGTGCCTATTATTTTGATAGTTTCTGTCAAGTCTACCAGACTGACCACTTGCATGTCTTCTTCAATAGTGAGGATTTTCTCAAATTTTGGTTTGTTATCATCATTATATATTTTCTGCAAGGCTGAAAAAGAATATAAATTTACCATAAATATTTCAAATAGAAAATAAACATATTTGTCTTCAAATAATAATGGTTTGAATGTAAGTGTTATTAAGCATACAAAAATACTATATATTTACCCAAAAACCATTTGTCTTTATCTTGAGCAGACAAAGTGAGAATAATTAGGCAATTGGGAGGCCAACAGGTAGTATCAGGCGCCACTTCTACTTTTAAGATGAAGGCCAGATCACTATTAGCTACAGCAACCCCAATTTCTGAAGGTAGGGGCTCTGAAATGACTTTTCCGTGGCTGTTGGCTGGTTTCAATGGAAATGTTTCTAGCAGAGTAGAATTGTTTTCTTTCGGAAGGTCTGTGTAAATATTTATAGAACTGTCCGTAAGAACAGCATAATGTTTTTCCCAAGTGTTCATTTTTCTAAAAAAGTCATTTTGGTATATTTTCTAAAAAGCAATTTGCTTCAATAAAAACCCTTACCCTAAAATCTTCACCCAGCCTTCAACATTGACTACTTCTTCCTTATTTGGTGTTTGAACATGGTTTTCTTCAGTTTTTGGTTTAAGGCTGTCTTTATAGTGTTTCGCAAACACCTTCGGTAAACCACAAGTATTTGGAATCAACCTTTTGCAATTTGTATGAGCTTGAACGTTACAATCAGAACAGGCAATAAAACTCCTACCCAGTGAAACTTGTTGTGAGCATGCTGCACATATAGTAGAAGATTTGCAATACTTTGTATCAAATCTAAAAATGAATTTTAATCAATGACCAGACTACTACTACTGTAAAAGATTATTTGTTACTACTACCAGAGTCATAGAAGGCATAAGTGAAAGCTTTATAAAATGAAGCCAAATGATCAAATGAAAAATGTTTGTGTATTAGAAAGATTAGAATATCTGTAACTTACCTGTGGGGTATATTATGGTGCATTCTTTGTACGGAATTTCGTCTGTAAAAATCGTTTTTTTGTTTACTTGGAGAATTCACAATCTGCTGTATAGCTACTTTACTTTTGGGTGACATGATTTCTGGATTCTGCTTCAACACTTTGATTTTTTCTGAAGGTATAGTTTGTTCTTGTGTGACGACAATTGCTTTTAATTTGAAAATTTCTTCTTGTAATTCCTTATTTGTTTTCTTTTCTTTGAGAAGCTGTGATTCTAAATCTTTGTAGTTCATTACAAGTGATATAGGTGGTTGATTTTCCTTTTTTGAATTACCAAAAAGGACATTCGTAAATGTTCTTTTTTTATTGTTTTGTTCATCTATCTAAAATACCAAAATAAATTTATATTTTTAATTCCATTTGTGAAAACAAATTATAAAAATGTTCAAGTGTTAGGAAGCCTCTGTAGACTAAAAATACTCTCTAGGTGGCAAACTTTATTTCAAATCTTTTTATACATGTTGCAGTGTAAAAATAATTTGAAAAATATTTTCCTTAATTCACTGAATATATATTTGTTCAAAAAAAATTCTACTTTGTTTATTTGAAATAATTTTTCAGTTGTCCAGAATTGGACTTGATAAAAAAATTAAGTTCAATATTCAATAGATAGAAAAACTATGTTGAAATGGAATGAATTTTTGTAAAATTCAATTTTTTTTTCAAGTATACAATGACTCGTATATAAAACCTCTTGAAAATATATAAAATTTTTATTATTACCTCTATATGAGACAACCAGTGAATCGTACAGAAGTATTAAAACAAATTTTGAATTACAAAATGATGGATTAGTTGATCCAGATTAAAGTAAACTGAATATGTTGGCTTTCTAAAAAGTTACCACACAAACTGAAATTCTGGTTCCACATGAAATATAGGGAATACCATATGGAAATGGAATGCCTTCAGAAGAAAAAACTATTTGCCAATAACCCTTGTAGGAAGAAAGATGTAGAAACTCATTAGAATATTTTCAGTCTTTCAGACAGAAGATGTTCAATTTCGCGGCAATGGAGGCATGTGTATGGATTGGAAATAATTGCCTATTTGGATTACCATCTATCGATGGTGACAATACCCATTGTTTGGCATTTGTTTCTCCACTTATCACGTTATCAAATGAGGGCATTATTATGATGTTTGATTTGGATTTTAATATTTTGTGATGAAAATAAAGCTTAGGATGAATTTGAAAATTGAAAGGGGGGGATTTACATTTTCAATGGAATTTAACCTAAAAGAATCCGGTTTTTGGCGAAAAATATATGTTTTACCCAACAGATATTTTTCTTACTCAAAAAGTAGGACAAATAAAGGACTAACACGCAAGTTGACAAATAGACAAGAAGAATAAAAAAAGAATTCTAGCTGAATTCAAAGAATTTTTTTCAATTACGACAAAAGGTATTGACTGATAGAACATGTGAAGAGTGTTGAAAAAAATATACTTAAACTCTTTGATTCCGATTGCCTTTTAAATGTTGATTATTTCATTAACAAAAAAGTTAGAGAAACAACTCAAGGTACTGATTTTTAATTTTATATAAATCAGATATTTCAGTACTTGTGTTGCACTGTTTGCAACCTTTGGTGTAGTAATGAATATTACTGGAGTTTTTGCCCAACACTAAATCGTTATTTTTAATACCTCGACACGTGTTTCGATAACCAAGTGATTATCTTCAAGAGGAAGGTTAAACTCATCTCGGTTTAATCTTCCTCTTGAAGATGATCACTTAGTGATTGAAACACGTGTCGAGGTGTTAAAAATAACGATTTGGTGTTCGGCAAAAACTCCAGTGATATTCAGATATTTCAGATTGATTCGTAAACAATTCAAGGTAATTGGGGACTAAAATAAAAGTTGAGAAAAATTGCTTCATACTTAAGAACACGAGGCTAATGACAACTGTAGTCAAAAATGATATTTTTTGAGGGGTTCAAACTGAATCAGTAGAAGCACCAGAATTACTCATGTCAAGAATGGCACGGACAGAATAAATTATTTTGACAAACACTTTCACAAATAATATTTGATTTCACGTTCCACTCCATACTAAAGACATAGTAAAAATCAACCAGTAAGTCCACTCCCACTACTTTCATTCATAAATTCAAAAAGTTCTGTGACCTCGAAACGAAGTGTGGAGCCAATTTCTTTTTTTTACCATAGGTTTGCGCTCATATAAAAACGAAATTCAAGGATATTATAGAATATTTTATGGTAAATTACTTATTACTACAAAAACTAAAAACAATAATAACAACAGCAAATAAACTAAACACAATATCAATTTCCTACTGATTATTATAACTAATCTGATGTCTGTGGTACTGTCAAATCCTTCGATACTACAGCACTGAACGTGTTGGATGAGAATCTCATCCTAAGAGCGGTTGAAGGTCCCCGACAACTCGGGCGGATCACGTGGTGAGATAGTCTACTGGTTGTATTATTCTACTGTGTTGAAGATTTCATTGATTGAGACGGAATGGAAAGAGGAAAAAAACTGATGGGAATGGTCATTCCATTATTTAAAGCACTTGTGTTTGGCATATCAACCTTTTACAAAGTTATGTTATATTATTAATTCCTAATATTTCTTTCTTGGTTTTAGAATTTTATTTTTTTAGCAAATTTCATTCAATTTTCAAGTTGACACAACCCTATTTTGAAAATGCATATGCAATAACAATTGCACTATTTGAATGTATTATGTTGATTCCAACTTGAAATGATACTGATTTTACTCATCCTTTCTTTAAAAGAAAATTCATTATGCATTAAATGACTTTCACAATAAAAAATATTCATTCTCGTCATGTTGCCCCTTTGGGACATTCATCGGCCCATCTTGTTATTGTAATTATTTCCTTTATGTTCATAAAGTTTGTACCACAGAAACAGTGATTCTGAAACTATGTGTAAGATTAAAATTTCAAGTGATCAATAGCCACATGAAAAGTTTTTGTTTTGGTATATTTCCGGTTCAGTAGAACTGTATCTATTTCAAAAAGGTAACTCACTTTAGATTGCAAAAAGTCAATCAACTTGATCTGCTGCTTGATAGTTGCATCTGACTTCATTTCTCTCTCCTTATAGTAATGGCTTTTCTCATTCAGAATCCGTTCTAATTCATTCATCTTCTGCTTGAACATTACCATTTCGTCTCTTGTATCACTGAGTTGATGTTTAAGTTTGTAGTTGGACTCTTTTCCTTTGTTGAATTGGGTAATAATATCGGATAGTTCTTGTTTGATATGTCTGTTTTCGGACTTCAACTCATCCATATGGCGTTCATAAGCTTTAGCAGTAACTTCCAGGTCTGTTATTTTTTCTTCGGCTACAGTTAGTTCCTCAGAGAGATTGCTGCAAAACTGTTTATAATCAATACACTGTTTCTTATATGATGCACATTCTTTCTGCAAACATTCAACATCCTCACTCAACCTCTTAACTTTGGTTTCAGCGAGTAGTCTGAGAGATTTTTCTTCGTTGACTGCTTTTTTTGCCACTTGTATCTCTTGTTTGGATTTGCACAAGTCACTTATTAGTTTTTCTGTGTTACTATTCAGAGCAGCCTGTTTGGTTTCAAATGAAGTTTTGATTTCTTCAAATGCTATTAATTGGTTCTCTAATACAGTGCATGCTTCTCGCAAAGCTTCTAAATTCTAGAAAAAATATACGATTAAACTAATAATGAAAAATCATAAAATATGGCAGTGAATAAAATGAACATAAAAAGGCTTCCTCTGTCAACTCTTGAACAGGACAAAATTTTAGTAAAAAGATTTAGGTTTCAGCCCTTTTTGATGAGAAAGACACAAGGGTTGTTGAGAGGGCGATAGCAAGGAGGTTCTTGTATACCTCATTTGCTAGGTACTTCAATTTTTTATCCAATGCTGTTAGAAATTGACTCAGTCATTCCTGAGACATTAGTGGTGTTATATTTATCCGCAAACAGAGATTAATATCATATTTTCAAGAAAAAGAGTATTCAAAAGCCAGTCTAGTTTATTAATACATATTTAAAATGTGTACCATTCACTTCCTGTTAATCATAAACTTCATTTAGAAAGGTACTGGGAATAAAGACGGCAATGAAACTAAATCCAAAATTTTCAAAATTGCCAACATTTTGACTTGTATTTCAGTCAATTTTTAGTTTTAGAATCACTTTTATTGCTGTTCTCATTCCCACTACTCCTCTCAGGTATCATTGAGAAGAATGTGAAGTTTGTTTACGAATTCATTTCTTGTATTTTGGAATGTTTCTGGACTAATTAATTTGTCAACAGCATCTCTTATTCTATACATGAGCCCTGGAATAGAGCTCACATATAGAATCATGTTTGCCGATATATCTGTTTAGATAATTGTCAACAACTAGCTATTTTTAAATAAGCTTGTCGTAATGAGGAGGCACCACATAGTGGGGCCTTAGAATGGCCTCCTAGATCACATAATATAACACCTCTAGATGTTTTTGAGGTGATACATGACATCTAAAGTGTATGATACATAACCGCATTTCATTTCAGTACTTTTGGATAGAAAAAAATGCTTGTAACAAAATAACCCCATGAACATTTCATAATGTATGAAATGAATTGGTAAACAAACTCAGTTTTTTTTTTCAGAAAGTGAATGGTGAACATTTTGAACCTTAATTGAGATAAACTGGAATGAGTTTTGAATAATGTTTCTTTAGAATTGATTAACTGTTTGTTTGCAGATTCTAAAAATGAAATAAAACTGCTAATTAGGCAGGAACGGCTGAACCGATTTTCAAAAAAAAAACACGTTTGGATAAAGAACTGAAATATATGTCAAGCGAGGTATTGCACGACCCCATTTCTATTTGAAGAATAGTAAATAGCTTCCTCTCAGTGATGAGTGACGCAATATTATTGTATTTCTTATTAGAAAGTATTGCAAACGATGCCTCTTCATGTAAATTGAAATCTTGTCCGATTCAAAAGTTAAGAGTGGAAGCGCTTTAAACGTGACAAACGTAAAACAAATAAAATGCAAACTTATTACAGAAAGTATCTTCTGGTTAACTTTTTCTACTAGATATATTTTACATAAAGATTATATTTTACCAGATTTTTATTGAGAACTTCTCGGTTAGCTCTTTGCAAGTTATCTTGAATTTCATTCTTTTCTTTCTGCAAATTTTCAATGGAATTCAAAAGTTTACCGTTTTCGTTTTCAATTTTTTTTATTTCATTTTCAACAGCAGACTTTTCCTTCTCGGTGCAAGCTAACTCAATATTCAATCTAGCTATTTGATCATCCTTTAATTTAATAATATCTTTCAATTCATTAATTGCAATTTTATCACTTTCATATTTAGTCTTTTCAAAATCCAGCTTTTCCAATAAGGTTTGATGACTGCCCTTTAGTTTAATGAGTTCCAAAGAGATTTTTTCATTTATATTGCTTAGTTCTACAATTGCCAATTCATGAGCATGTTTAGATTCACCAAGAGATTTTTCTAGGCCCTCAATTTTCTCGTTCAATAGTTTTACATCTGAGCGAGAATCCTTGAGCTCCCTTTCCAAAATACGCTTGTCAATTTTTGCATTATTCAGTTCCTTTTCCATTCTCCAATATTTGGTGCGAAGTTCCTTCAACTCTTCATTTTCAGTGGCAATATTTTTAAATTCCTGAAAAATATTCAAGTATAAGTTTACATGTGATGCACTATTTGGAACCTTTGGTGTAGAAATTAATGTTACTGAATTTTAGTCCTAACACCAAACCGTTTTTTAAACACCTCGACCTCGACATGTGATCATCTTAAAAAGGGAGATTAAACTGGTTTAATCATCCTCCTGATGATATTTATAAGCTTACATTGAAGTTAAAACCAAAAAAATATTTTTATCGCCTAATAACTTACATAATTATGATAAAACTTATTTCTACTCTTAACATGGTACTCACAGCTTTCAAGTTTTGCAATTAATGATAAAATTTTAGTCACCTGCAATTGTTTTGTCAAATACATGCACTTTTCCCTTTCCTCCAACAGCTGGTTCTGGATATCTGAGAACTTCTTGTCGTTCTGCATATTTCTAATTGTTTTCTTCAATTCCTCAACCTCCATCTTATAGCCTTCCATATGTTTAACTTTCAGCTGCAAAGTGGTGTTATGATTTTCAACATCTTCAACAGTTTTCTGATATTCGTCAAGTTTTTCCTGTAACTGTGCAATTTCTTGTTTATATTCATCAATTTTTTCAATATGATTTTCTAGATCTGTGACTTGCTCACTGAACTGCTTTATGATGTTCTCTGCTTCTTCTAGTTTATTCTTCCAGCTTTCAAAGTCTTTTTCAGATTGATCTATTTTTTTAGTTAATAATGATTCCTTCATTTTCATTTGTGACATCTTATTTTCCAATTTTTTTTTCTGACGAATTTCTTCCGAAAGCTGTTTTTCTAATTCTGAAATGGTGTCTTGTGTCTCACTAGTAACTTTTTCTAATCGAGATTCGAGACCTATAACACTGTGTCTGCTTAGAAATTGTGCTTTTTCCAACGATTCCTTATGTTTTCCTTCCATCTTCAGAGCATGTTGTACTTGTTCAGTGAGCATGTTGTTGGTTGCTGTAAGCTGGATAATTTTTTCTTTCTGTTGACTGATTTCTAACGTAAGAGTTTCTAATTTATTTTTTTCTGCTGCTTCCCATTTGAGCTTTGCAGATTTTATCAAATCTATGGCTTTTTTTTCTAACTCTGATCTATCTTTACGTTCCAACTCCAAAGTTCTTTTCAATGCCTGAAATTGAAATATCAATCAATTTTTTTTACTCACATACTGAATCTAAAAGAAGTCAAATTCATCAAAACAAAAACTTTCATTATTTTAAGTCCATTTGAAATTATCCAACATTATAATGACCTGGGAGATTACGTGCATTTGAATAATTTATTTTATACTAATAGAAAATCATATGAATGATAGTTTCCTCTAATACTTGTGCACTCTACACTTCAGCTACTGTAGTCGCGGTGGAGCTGACGGGGATAATAGGTGAACGTTGTTATAAATAATATGCTTCCAGCATTTTTATACCACGCCAAAATTCATTTGATTTTTCAGGTCATTTTTTACCAAACAATAATGACTAGCTGCGTACGTCAGTCACGTATACGAATAAAAAACAATTTCAAGTATCATTAATTAATACCGTGGGTTGGGCTACCTATTGGGCTCGTCCCCAGGTAGCAGATAGGGGAACGGCCAGGGAACTGGAGGCTCTGTCCAGGAAGCCAATGTGGCCTTATGGACGGGATCGCCGGACTCCTGGTCAGTGGCAGAAATAAGTAGGGTGAGGGGAACTAAAACTCCCCAAAAGCCTTTGCAAAATATGCCACCGTGGACCAGCCTACCCAAGCTAAGGTGTAAGGAATCGTGCCGACAGTTGAATTGCCGCAGGGTGATTTGCGGTTACGAAAGATCCCCTCGGTGAACTGGGCGAAACCTCATTGTAATCAGCCTACCTCTGGTAATGTGGGGCTCTGCCAGAGGTGACCAACTCTTCTCTTGCTACTCATGGGAACACACATGAATGAAATAAACACAGAAATAACAAAAACCGATTTTTTAAAATAGCTTGTTACCCACAACATAGAGTGGCATTATTTATGCTACATCTATTTTTATTGCAGTCAGCTGTATGTTCGTGAATGTAAAGATTGTCAGCACTGAGCTTGCTGCATAATGATAGAGGTGACTTCAAATCAAATCAAATCAAATCAAAATATACTTTATTGTCTGAAGATTTGCATCTTATTGACAAAGTCCAAGAAATACAATATTAATATAGAAAAAGTACTAAAAAAGAATAATGGTAGATATAAAAAAGTTCCAAAAATGTATAAATGTAAATATAAAAAAGTTCTAAAAATGTATAGATAAAATACCACCATGTATAAAGTGATAGTACAAATAATAAATTGCTAATATATTGTTAAAAGGATCCGCTAAAATACTCTTCCAAACTCTAATCGGGTCTGTCAACAAGTAGGTTCTTCACCGCCTTTTTGAAACGAGTGTTGCTTAAATTTGCAGATCTCATTTCTAATGGTAAATGATTGAATAATTTATCACCATTATAGTATATGGAATCCTTGATTAAATTCGAAGTTGGGATGGGAAGTCTAAAGGTATAATTGCTATTTCTAGTAGCATAAGGAGTAGAAGTAAAGTTGAACTTCGATTTATGTTTATAAATAAGGCAAACCGTCTCTAAGATAAATAGTGCGATGACTGTTAACATTTTATTGGCAGAGAACAAATTCCTGCACGATTCTCTGGGTTTGACTTTACAGAGACGTCTTATTGCCCTCTTCTGTAATATCAATACAGTTGTTGCATGATCCCCAAAAAGGTATTCCATAACGTAGTCGAGATTCAATAAGTGCATGGTAAACGGTCTTTGCGACAAGGAAACCCAACTCATTTGAAACTACTCTAACTGCATAACATCCGGAGGAGATTTTACTCTTCAGTTGTTTAAGGTGTTCATCAAATTTTAGCCTACTATCAATGAATACACCGAGAAACTTTTTGTTTAATTTATTTTGTAGTATGGCAGCGTCTATTGAAATTTTATCAAGCGAACATTTGAATGATATTATATTCGTTTTGGATGCATTGAGAGAGTAAATTTGCATCGCACCAGCTCTTCACCTTCTTCAAGTCGGATGATATTATTTTATTTACCTCCATTGAGTTTTTTTCTTTCCACATATTGTAGTATCATCCGCGAATAGAGTGAATCTACCAGATATGTTAATCATAGATATGTCATTCATATATAGCAGAAACAGAATAGGGCCTAACACAGAACTCTGTGGTACACCAGATTCAAAGGCCCTGTTCTCCGAGAGTTCCGTTGTCCTCACTATTTGACTCCAACCTGAAAGATACGATTCAAACCAAGTGTTCGTTACACCTCAACATCCATATTTATGAAGGCTCTTACCCGCGATAAAATTGCGACCGATGAATTTCATTATTTTAAAATCATTTAAATTCATCTGCATAGATTTTATAAGATATAAAATGACTTGATGATTGAATTTTTTTTGTATAATTGATACAAGTGTCTGAGATATGATCCCCTCACTTCCATATAGCTGATTATTATTTTCTAGATAAAAATGATCTGAAAAACCATTTCATGAATTTTAAAACAATGTGAAAATACTTAATTTTTTGGCAACTTTCAAATGCTGTCACTCTTAGCTCCACTGCCGGCGATTCATTCATTTATTTATTTATTTATTTGACACTTTGGTAATCATGTAATAAACATAATTTAATGAAATGAATGAAAACACTTTTGTCTGATTACCACTAGTTAATTTAATTTATAGGACGGGGTTAAATCCGAAACCAGTAATGTAAATAAAATTAACTAGTGGTAAATAGACCAGTGTTTTTATTCATTTCATTAAAGTGATCATGAATTACCACAAAATAAACAAGTCAACAAGTCCGAATTTGTGGAGAATATATCGATATTTGTTTTTCAAGATAACAATAGAAGGTGCAGTAAGAGGATATCTCATTTCTAATACTGAATTCCATAACAAAAATCTACAATTAATCGAGAATTAGCTAGTAAATATAATTTTCCAAGAGCCCTCATCCGAAAAATAATTCCCAAAATACAAGAGTCAACAACAACAAATATTACGTATGTAGAAAATTTGTCTGAAAAACTAGTTACATACTTAGTAACAAACGTTAGTTATTAACGAACATATTAAAGTGACCTTTTCAAATGAAAATACAGTTGGAAAGTATTTTTTTCTCAAAGCAATGATCTAAAAACCGCAAGATATACAATCCAACACAGTATATAATACAAATTAAACTGTGAAAGCTGTTCCAAATGTTAAGTTGGTCAAACTGGACGATATCTAAGAACACACGAGATACTCTAAGAAACTAAATATCAAAAACCCCACAGTCCTTGGTGTCCATGAAAGAGAACATGGAAACATTTTTGACTTTGAACATTCGACTATTCTACATGTTCAACCATATTTATCCATGACTTTTGAGCGAAATGATACAGATCCTGTAAAACGATAGTGTTAACACTGGAAAGGATGTTAATGGTCTTAATACGGCAAATTTTAATTTAATCAGTAAAATACCTAAATAATTCAAATTTTTTTTATTCTCTTTTTTTGGCATTGATAAAGACCGACACCACCTCATCAGTATCATGAATAAAGTCATTCGTTTGTTTTCATGTCTTTGTGTAGTGCTGTTGTCTCGATAATTTTATCATTTTAGTGTTTTTTATTTTTATCAAATATCTGTCTGGTGTTTTTATAATAATATTTTCAACATTAAGAAAATACTTTTCAGTAATTCAATTGAGAATTCATGATTCCTTGTAAAATTGAAATATTATAAGTTTGTTTGGTGGGAGGTATGTTTATGAAAATTAATTGTTACAGAGCCCTGAAGAAGATTTTACGAAAGTTTGAAACGTTTATAAGAAAACAATTGTTTTTAAAGAAAAACTGACCCTGTTACACAACTAAATCTTCTTGAAAAAAATTATTGGATCACTGAACCAGTTGATTGACTAATATCAACTCAATCACCCTTCTGGTCACCACACTGTATTTCGTTTCCATTTTAAAAATCTATTCTAATTTTCATCCTTTCCAAACAAATTTTATGTAGAATATTCAAACAATTCATACACAAAAAATGTCTGAACATTTTTTATTCACATTAGAAGATTGTGTTGTTGGAGAACTGCGAGAGAGTATGTTGATGTCAGCTGATCAACTGATAAACTTCTAAAAATGGAATTCATTCGCTACAAAATTTCTAATAAAAATGCCATTTACAATTACTGTTACTATACTTTTAGTAAAATTGAAATAAATATGAAATTAGTATTATAATTCAAGAAGTTAGACTCACCCCACACTCGGCTATATTACCAGCCAGATCTCTCTCCAATCGGTTTCTCAAATTTTCAATACTCTCTAATTTCCTTGTTTTCTCTTCCAATTTTCTTTCTAAAGCTTCTCTCTCTTTATCAAACTCATCATTCTTCACCATCTTCATCCTCAAAGTGTTTACCTCACTTTTAAGATTCTCCATCATCTCGTCTTTGGTTACCACTTTCCTTTCAAAAGGTTCCTGGTAACAATTTGGATTAGGTGTGAAGGTGAATCCTATGAATGGCAAATTACGACCGGAGAACTGCATTCGTTTTTTAAAAGATTCGATGCTAGGTGTTTTCTTTTTGCTTTGAACATCACTGAAGTTACTAGTATCTTCTACCGACGTAATTTTGGGAACGAAAGGTGGTACCTGGTCTCTTAAAGTATCAAAATTGGTGTTCTTGAAAATAGGATGACTTCTGATTTGGTTCGTGGTCAGTCTTGATTTTTCATCTGTTATCAATGATTTAACAAAGCTGACATATGCTTGGCTGAGTACAACATCTGGAGGAAATTTCAGAGAACTTTGATGATTCATTATTTTTGAGTATATTGATGTGGAATTTTGACCTGTGAATGGAGTGTTGCCAATTGTTAGCTCATAAGCCAGTACACCCAGTGACCAGTAGTCACAAGAAACCTAAAAATTAAATTAATGAAAATATTATTATTTCTTTTTATACTTGTGATGCACTGTTTGAATATCATGTTATCCCAACACCAAACTGTTATTTTAACACCTCGACACGTGTTTCGATCACCAAATGATCATCTTCACGAGGAAGATTAGACTAAATATACATATAATGTTATCCTTACTTATATCATAAATACCTCTGCTAGGTAGCTGTGTCTTAATTGTCTTAAATTGATTTTACTAGGTTGCCTTATCTACTAGTCTTGAATTAATTTTACTAGGTGGCCTTATGTCAGGTAAATTTGATAATAAAAATATTATTTCGACAAGCTATATAGTATACTATTAGGTATTGGTCCACCATCGTTATTCATAGTATTATTATGTTAACTCATTTCTACACTCTCGTGTAGGCATCTAGATGCCTGTTGTGGTTAACTTGTCGAACTAATCCTTATGAACTAATGTTTATGGAATGGTTTTGTTGCAAAATATTTTAGATGTGCTAAGTATTCCTTATATCTTATTTTAATAAATCTTTTAGACTGTCCATAATATTTTTCATCACAGTCCTTACATTTAATTTCGTAAATTCCAGACATTTTCGTATTCTCGACTTTGTCCTTTGGATTTCCTAAAAGGTTCTGTAGTGTATGATTTGTTTTAAATACCACCTTTATACCTAGTTCCTTGAAAATCTTTCCAAAGTTCTTCGTGTACTGATGGTATCGAACTGAGATATATTTATCTAGGATTTTGTCGTTTCTAAAAGTCGAGATTTTGTTCATTCTTAACCTAAACTTTTTCTTCCTTATAGTATCTCCCCTCGAGAAACCGTTGTTGACTGCTATTTCCTGTATTGTCAATTTTTCTGTTGTGAACCTTTCATGTGTGAGAGGGATTTTCTAGTGCATCATCTTTTGACTTCTCCTCTCACACATGAGAGGTTCACGAAAGAAAAATAAATAGCAGTCAGTAACGGTTTCTCGAGGGGTATTGTAGATTATATTATGAGGAATAAAAAGTTTAGGTTTGGAATAAACGTAATCTCGATTTTTAGAAACGACGGAAACCAATATAAATATATCTCAGTTCCATATCATCAATACACAAAGAACTTTGCAAATATTTTCAAGGTACTAGGTATGAAGGTGGTATTTGAAACAAGTCATACACTACAGAACCTTTTAGGAAATACAAAGGACAAAGTCGAGAATTCGGAAAAGTCTGGAATTTATGAAATTAAATGTAAGAACTGCGATGCCAATATTATGGACAGACTAAAAGATCTATTAAAATAAGAACACTTAGCACACCTAAAATATGAAAGACCAGAAAAGTCAGCAGTCGCCTATCATATTTTGCAACAAAACCATTCCATAGACTTTAGTTCATTAAGATTAGTTAGACAAGTTAACAACAGGCATCTAGATGCCTACGAGAGTATAGAAATGAGTTTAAAAATCTGTTTAAAATCTGTTTTTCCGTTAATCAGCTGTCGCCCCTATACGAACGACAACTCTCAGAAGTTGAGAAAGTTGTGCGAGCTAAGGACTAACGAGGTCTTATCTTTTAACGTGATACGCAGTACCACTGATAATCATTTCATAAATATAAGGAACTATAACTTATTTAGAGCCGACCGAAATCGGAATGGTAGAGAATTATGTATATATAGTAAAAATAAATTCCACTCTGAGATAATCGCTTATGAGTCATCATAAATCATATGCGGGTTGTATAGCAATACTTAATGGGAAAGAACACCAAAGGACACAATTCCAAGTTGAAATAATATTTGATTTTTTTTTCTCCTTCCCTTTCTACGATTCAATTCTGGAATAGATAATTTTCAGTGAGAAATGCATTCGCAATGAGTAACTAAAATGTTACATCAAATTAGAACACATCTCTGTTTTTAGGTCAAGTGGAAGAATATTTTTGATGGTGTTCAACACTTTATAAAAATAAACTTTGCCCTTTATTTTCATTGATATTTAGGATAGTTATCAGTATTTTTGATCTATTTTTTTTGTATATCTTTATTTGAAAGTAATAAAGACAATTATTATTATTATTATCAAATGCGCAGCCGCTGATGTTGCAAATACAGAGTATTACACGTGTCTAGCTTGCCGTATTCGTAAGACACTCATGAAGCTGTCCATTTTCATTTAAACTTGTACGACACTCGTACGTATACATACGGCACTCGTATAGAAAGGGTTAATCTAATGAAAATACACTTAATAAACACAAAAAATGTAGAAATACTTTTTTCAACCAACAAACGATGATCTAATGATCTGAATTAATACCTAAAAACTGTTCAGAATGAGTCAGTTATCCCAGTTTATACTTCTCATGGCACATATTGCTATTTCCCAGACTTTCGAAAACAGCCAGAAATTTCATGTTATGAACCGATCTCAACAATTCAAAGCAAAGTATATTTATAAGAAAATAAATATTACGAAATAAACTTCATAACATTAATCTCTCCCAACTACCTACACACACAATAGGCTCTGTCGAAAAACAACTACTTCCCCGGCTAATACCACGCTGGATATTGAATTATATCAGACAGACCTTTATGCAAGATACCTCATAGAGGCTAGTCTCGCAGATGTTTCTCGTTCATCCAGCGGCATGACCATGCTGAAATTATTCAAGTAGATCTCCTGCAGACTGCGGGTTCAAGGTATTACCTCTCGTCAGTACATTGTATTGCTACTTGGTTGAGATAGGTATGTGATTTCTGTAGATCCAACAAAATCATCATTCCGTTCAATATTTGAAGTGTATTGATTTAAAACACTTTTCCCACACCAGTGCTTTAATTTTTCCCAAGAGGTTCCAATTCGTTGAAGGCAGTAAAATTAATATTACATGGCTTGGTTGATTCAACATGATGAATATTATATGGACAGACTGACCACCTTACAGATTTACATGTATGTATATCATCACACAGGTAACTTTAAGACTAACATATTTGAAAAGTAGGTACTTACAACTTACAAATCATTATGCAGCTTCAAAAGAAAGGATACACCTATAAATGAAGTTAATTTACACTGAAATATTCCAAGAAAGTTGTCACAAGAAAGTTTTCACAATGTAAATCGACAGAAGCATTCATACACCACACTTCTATTTTTTTTTTACTTTAACGAAAGTTCTATGGGTGACTAAATAATTTTTAAGGATTCTTTAACGTAAAAGAATGTGCATTTGTTGACTAACATTGTGATCAATATTTTTTTTTGTAACATTATCCTGTTCTGTGTTAATATTGATATTCTGCTATTATTTGTGGAGTATAAGTAACACTTGACATAAATTTATATTTTTCAACTTCCTCTTTCAATTCCAAACGTTCGTCATTTAAATTTTTTTATATACCCTGTTATGTCTATAACATATACACCTCTATTTCTGTGCGTGAATAACTCAATTTAACAATTCTTTATCCTTATTATTGATGAAGAAAACCTTAAAGTTGATGTAAGTAGGAATCACACAATGAACCGTGCTAGAAATCACATGTTAAAAGGTACGTCCCCGTTAGTCGTCCCCGTGAGAGTTGTCGTTCGTAGGTTAACGGAAAAAGGTTATTTTTTAACGTGTTTGAGTATATAGTGCAGTACATCATCAAATCATTCATGATTCAAATGTCACTTGATCAAAACTATCACAGAAATATAAGCACTGTTCACCAGTCATCAAGATTCTTTAGTTGAATTGCCAACCAAATGGTGTTTTTAAATAAATCAGGAACAAAGGGCAAATAATTGAATTTGTCCAGAAATGTTACTGCTTTTGATAAAAATTCAGATAGAGAGTTGTTCAAATCTCAGTGTGCACCTCTCCTATTCAACATTAATGATATAGCCAAACGTTTCGAGAACACACTTTTTAATGTTTGCAGATGACTTAAAGCTCTTTAGACCAATAAGATCACTGGATGATGCTAAATTAATTCAAAAAGATGTGAACAACTTGGTTAGATGGTGTAATGAAAACAATTTGCATATGAACATTGATAAATGTAGTTATATCAGTTTTTACGAATCAAATAAGTAATTTTACACTTCATACTTTATCAAGGAAAACCAATTAACATATGTGATTTTATTGAAGGACTTAGGTGTTATTATTGATGAGCAGCTACGTTTTTCCTAACATGTAAATCACATTGCAGTTAACACTTCAAAACCATTATGTTTCATTTTACGAAACTGTAATTACCTATCTGTTGAATCCATAAAAACAATTTACTTTGCATTCATAATCTCTCGATCAGAATATGGATCAAATTTATGGTCACCATATTATGGGAATTATTGCACCACCTTAAATGGGTTTGGAATAAATTCTTAAGATTTTGTGGATATAAAATGAACATCCATAGAAAGAACCATAATTATAACTTTATTGCAAATGCTCTCAACGTCATTTCACTGAGAAAAAAGAAAATTCTCTACAAAAGTTATATACAAATGTTCTTGTTATATGCACTGAACTCCTAGATAAAATACATCTACATGTGCCTACTAGAGCTCTCAGGAATACTGATCTCCTTCACATTCCTTTTCATACTACCAACTATGGCATACATTCTCCTATCGATCACACGCTCTAAGGAAAAATGATAGAAAACTAGAGGTTACTGGTATTACGTTATCTACATTAAAAAGTAGTCTGTAGTCAGAATTATAACATTTACTTGTATATACCAATTTATTGTACTTGTACTTAACTATTTCTAGTTTATATATTGACCAACTGTATTTGTATTATTACTTCACTCTATGTATATTATATAATGGGGATAACCGGTACAAATAAATAAATGAAAAAAACAAAAATTAATCTGTAATAACATACCTTATTGTAAATTTTGCCTATATATTTTGAAACAAAATGAATTGTAAATGAAAATCATGTTTCGTTTCGGGAAAATTTATAATTAGAAATGTTATTGACAAGTTGAATGAATTTCCATCTGAATTTTATTCATGGCAAATTTAATGATTATGCTTTCATATTTGATTTATATCAAATATTTTTTCATTTTGGGGAAGTGAAACCTAATAAATGTTGAGAATAACCAGAGTATTTTCCCAAATTATATTCATTCGATAATGAGTAACATTTTTTTTTAACAGACAGTCCAATTGTCAGACTACCAATTATTTAAGATGTTGACCAAAATTAGTTTTAGGAAACATTAATCATTAATATATTAGTTTTATTGATGACATCTTCTATAGTTTTATATTTGATGACATCTTCTAAATACACAATTTATCCTGTGAGAATTTCACGGTCGAAGTCACAATTGAAGAGACAAAAATTTGGGCTATGGTCAAATAGAACCTAAAGAATCAAAAGTTTCGCCTACTATCGGAGCAGACATCATCAGTGTTTTGTGCATTGACTGCAAGGACGAAAGTTATACCTTGAAAACGATTGAGTCTTAGTTGTTGCTGAGTCTTCGAGATATAACTTTGTCATTGCAATTACCACTGGCTACCAGTCTGGATTTTATTATCTTCTACAATCTATTCTGTTATGTGTTAGGGAAGATCAAAGGAATTTTGGTGATAACAGGTCACCAGAACAGACTCTCCATAATACTGAATCTGTTGCCAAAATCTGTTTTTCCGTTAACCAGCTGTCGCCCCCCTACGAACGACAACTCTCAAAAGTCAAAACTGGTGCGAGCTAAGGACAAACAAAGTCTTACCTTTCAACTTGTGATTTATAACACAGGTTGGACGACAGAAAGTGAAAATATTAAAAATAAGACTTACCCCATATCCAGATGAAATTTCATTCTTATTTTCTAAACACTGCAACACTTCTGGAGCAATATAATCAGGAGTACCCACAGGAGGACTTACATTAATCACTCCATTTTGATTTAACTTTGCTGCTGATCCAAAATCTGCTAATTTCAAATGTCCACATCGATCTAGTAGAATGTTATCTGGTTTGATATCTCGATGAATATATCCCATCAGGTGAAGATCTTCTAGTGCCAAAACCTTCAGAAGCAAAACAGAAACAAATCATTCAAACTATAAACAATGCCATGAATATTTCTTACCAGCTCGGAAATGTAAAAAGTTGCTGCACTTTCAGGTAAAGTTCCTCCTTGTCTATACAAAAGACCCAAAAGGTCTCCTCCTGGGTGGTATTCCATAACAAAAAATAAATATGTGCTGTCTTGAAATGAATACTGAAGGGTAGTCAACCAATGCGAGTTTGAGAATGCCATAATATTTCGTTCTATCTCAAAGGACATTCTATTCAAATCATTTTCAAACTTTCTAACCGTTTTCATAGCATATATATCACCAGTTTGCTTTTCCTTTACCAAATGAACTTCTCCAAAATGTCCCCTTCCTATCACATTTTTTATTTCGAAATCTGTTATATTGACACGTAACTTTTTTATTTCTTTTACAGTTTCTTTGTATTTTTCAACAAACTTGGCTATGTTAGTATCATACTTCTGTAAATTTTCTAAAGAACATTCTTCATACAAGGCTTGAAGAATATCCAAGAGAGTTTCTCTAGCAAGTAAAGTGGTATTATTGAATACTGCAGTTTGTCCTGTAATTTCGCCATTTATTCGTGCAATTCGTACAGTAATAGGGTCCTTGGAGTGTTCCATATTGTTATAAAAATTATGAAATATAATATGGCATGTTATAATGCAACCGAAAGAACAAAGTTGAAAGAAAATCAAAACTCAAAGCATTGAATAAACTAACAACACAAATGCTATCAACTCAATAAATAAAATAACCGTTTAAATTTGAATTTTATAACAAACAGTTCACTGACATTTGACTACTGACAGTAGACAGTACTGACTGAAACCTCAGTATCTAGAGATGGGAAATATGGCTTCTTTATTGGAACGTTCCAGTCACGTTGTAGAAGCTTGAATAAAGCTTAGTCTGTACCGTATCATACAACTCATATACTCCATTAAGATAATTCGTGTTTATCCGGTTAAGTTCATTTTTCAAATGTATCTATTTACTTAACTCAACCAAACATTTCAACCTAGCAGATCACTATTATAATATTCATGCAGTCATTGTTCACTGTGGTTCTGGCGTTGAATTTGGTCATTGTTACGCCTTGGTCAAAGACGAAACGGACTGGTTTAAGTTTGATGATAGTCGTGTCACGAAGTGTTCTGGCGATGCATTGAATTTATTAGAGCCTCTGGACACACTACATTTTGTTTTATAAGAGAGAGGACATTGTTAGATCAAGATCTTCAGATGATGTGGTGCTACAGGTTTTTCCGGGTTTTACTGCAGCTGAAAAAGCAAATGCGCCACTGGAATCAATGAAGTTGCCCCGGAGTGCCAATTAATTTTTATTGTTGTTTTTATTTCATTTTTATCGTTGTTTTAATAAATGTATTACCAAACAATAATTTTAAGAAAATGTGACATCATATTTTGACTGCTCTGAAAATGGATCAATACCTTACTTCCTTCATTTCCTTTGGAAGATTTCCACATTTTTTTTGTATGAAGATGTACAAACAAATAATATTTCCGATCCTCAATCGCGCCTCCTTTGCCTTTTTATATCTTCTTAGGTTAGTGGCACCATCGTAGACATCAAGCATAGAACTAAAACTCGCGAAAATTAGTTCTGTGTTTGAATAATTTCGAATGAAAATAATTTCGAATAGTACAATACTAAACTTGGTAGAAATGAAATTTTCAAAGTACAAGTGAGAAGTTTATAAGAAATATCTCAGAGTAGCACCTTCATTGATAGATATAGGGTAAAATATTAATTTATCGTTAATTGGCTTTTTATATTTTATATCTATTAGTTGTTTTCACTTTGCGCTTTTATTCACAATTAATTTGGAAGTTGTGTTATACATACAAGTTTGATCAATATATTTATTGTTTTATGTTCTACATATTCCAATTTTATTATCTCAGTGCAGAATTTTTTGAAATATGGAGTCCGGAGATAAATTAATACCAGATTCACCCATAGTAGAATTGAAAAATAAAAAACAGGAGGGTAATGTTTCACATATTTCTATAAAGGAATTTCTGAATTTTTTGAAAACTGCTTATCAGGTATATTATACTTTCATGTGGAAGCTGTGAATACAATATGTTTTCTTTCAGGTACAAGATAGTGTTGAAGGTATACTTATATCTGGTGGTATGTCAGAAGCAGTAAATTGGCTCAAGAGAAAAGAAAACCAAATGATATTGAAAAAAAATAGTATTTGCTGTCAAACTTCAGACATATATTTACAAGAAGATAAGAAAGGTATAAGTCTACTATTATTGAGTAAAATAATAAAAGTTTTCTCATACTTATATGATATAAGTTCACCAATATGTTCAACTGTATTGTTGTAGAAGTGGTTCGTAAACAAAGTGTTGTGAGTTGTTTGTCAGATGCAGATCCACTCAAGATGAAACTTAACGAAGTATTATCTGAAGGTCTACTAGATTCTGTATTACCTTATTTGGTGCAGAACGTAACTTCGTCAAAAAAAAGTTTACCCCCAAAAGGAAATGGTCTGTAGATGCCTCATTCATTACTCTTTGTCGAATTATATATTCACTTCCTTTCCACAGATAGGACTCTCAACAGTCAGTCTGGTGCTTTGGTGCATGTTGTATCTAGCGAAAAAATTGTTTCAAGAAGAAGGTCTAGTGATGTAGTACTGAAAACTCTAGTTTCCAAAACTGAGTAAGCAAAAAATCAGAGTAATTAAAACAAAAGTTACTGTGAAAATCAGCTATATTACATACATGATGGAATTGGTCGATACCTGATGAAAATTCATAAAGTATTCAGGAAAGATTTTACCTTGAGATTTTCACTGGACAGTTTACTAAATCGCAAACAACCAAAACTCCAACATGAAAATACTATTGTATAGCGAAACATGTGTAGCGGTTTTGTAAACAGTCCAGTGAATATCTCACATTAAAGTGTTACTTGAATATATTACATACGATTTGGTGCTGGTCAAGTTTTTTCATCCCTTCTGCTAGCTGTTTGAATATTTTCAGTTACACATTCTGCTTCAATGTCGTTCATTTGAACCTCTGACTCTCAATCTCTACAGTTTATCATCACAAGACTTTCGAAAAAATTCAGAAGATTGGGATAACTTGGAGATCAAAAATCTTTTTCCTTCAAATGTGTTTTCTGGTGGAGAGACTTATATGTTTTGATCTTTCTTCTACAAATTTTTCTATCGCCATCTTACATTCTATAGTTGTCTCATTTTCTCAACTACTCTGGATTTCTTCCAGTTGGAAGTTGCGTATGGTCTGAATCAAACTCTATTTTTTGTATTTATTGAATAATTGATATCTTTTCGACTGCCTTATGGTCTGTGATGTGCTTTGACAGGATCTATTGACTTTGTATGAAGTTACTCAACATGAACTGGAGCTTTTGTTCAAAAACTTCTGTTCATTATTACTTGAAGAGGAAAGGGTAAGTAACAATCAGCTTTGGGGGTATATATTTTTATACCTGAGGATATAAATGATCATTCTCATCCTTATAGTTACTTCAAAACATAAAAATGTATATATTTGATTACAATGCTCAACGATCCTATTATATAGATTTGTGATAAAAAGACTTGAGGTTTTAAGGCAGGATTAAGCACAGTATCTGCCGAATGGTGTTGCTATGGTACTTTATCTAATAGAAATTACATGAATGTAGGGTGAATCCTCAAAATTGGGTATAACACAATATTCTCATTCAGAATGTTCATTTAGTATACTAGGATCCATAGAAGTTCTCATATCATCATTGAGCTTATTAGAAATAATATTTTGGGATGAATGCACAGTCTTCTGGATCTTTTTTTATCAAACTCTTTAAGGATAATACTTCGTCTTAGATCAAATTCTATTTGTGCTGAAATTGGTATTTTTAGATTTATCATTAATTTTGAAATGTACTACCTGATGATAAATACAATTGCATTCTATTTCATAAAACAGCTCCGAAGTGGAAATTCATGTTTGTGATGAAGTTAAAAATACGAAGAAAACATTCTTTTGCAATCAGAACCTATTGGTTGGAAAAATGGGATATTTTGCCGAAGTAACACAAGGTAATCTTATGATTGTCAATGAATAACTTTACTAGGTGTTGAACTTTATTTTAGGGCAACGCCTCGAAGATATGGATATTTCAGTCCACTGTGACATAGGTATATTTGAATGGTTGATGCAGTGGGTGAAAAGAGACAGTTTAAATGAGGGTGATACCCCTCACCTTGACCCACAGTGTGTGATTCCAATACTTGTATCTGCGGCCTTTTTGCAAATGGAACCATTATTGAACACTTGCTTACTTTTTTGCCATGAACATTTGAATGAAATCCTTAGAACTAGTACGAATTTGTCTTGTTTGAATGACTCTGTTCTAACAAGGTAATTATATCCAATCACATTTTCAAAAGTAACTGATAATTTGATCAAACAAAGTAAGATATCTTCCAGGAACTTTCGAAGAGTAAGTTACTTTTTTGTAACAAAATAGTCTGCAGTTACTTCATTTACATTGCTCTGACTTATATTGCCTCATAACCCAGTCACATATTCAGCATTGCTGTATTTTCTGTATTACTAATTTACATTGCTGTAGGAAAAACTCTGAGATGTACCCACAGTACCGCACGTTGACCAAGTAGTCTTCAGTACTCAAGTTATTCTTTCGGTCACAGAGACGTATACACGGAGATTTTGTTTTGACTTGAGCATTACTCAACTTGAATCTGTCGGAACAATCACATCTAATGCCAAAGTATGCCATTACTTAAAAGTCGTTTTTTCATTAGGCTGAACATGTTGAAAATAACAAAGTCAACAATGATCTTTATCGACTAGTAAAACATTACATACATTACATTATATTACAATGAAAATATCGAAGAACAATATGAAATGGAAAAATCTGGAAAACAGATCGATATAACACATACGTTATTCATTGGCATTTCAAACATTACTTTTCTTCGAAAAAAAAGTAAATAAATACTCGAAAACACCAATAGTCACTCTCGAAAACTCGTTCAAATAATTGGAAAGCGGTTTCAAATTCAGTCACTAATCTGAAGAAGCTTGATGAAATAAAAAAAAATCATATTATGATAAACCCGGACTTTCTACACAAATGATCGGGAAAAACTTTCATAAATACATTGAAATTGACTCATTTTGATAATGTTTTGGAAAGAAAAGTTACAATTTCCAGTGAAACAAGCTTCGAACTTGAAGTAATTTATAACGCTGGAAGGATGTTTTGTGACTTGATGCCAAGGTATCAATCTGCCTACTTCCCAAGTCTCATCACTGGTCTCCTTTCCTCGAAAAAGTTCACAAAAGTTTCCGTATTTCATATTTATTTAGTTTTACCTGATGAATCAATGTTTGTTTGAAGGTGATTGACAATGTTTCATGGTGCATTTTTTAGGTTTTTGATTTTCATTCTTGTTAGTAATTTTTAAATTGTTCAGCTCGTGTTAATAGTTCTTTTTTTTTGTTGTTGCTTGTATGTTATTTCATTGTAATTTCAGTTTTTCGCTCGATAAAATTGTTCTTTCTGCAAATCTCTTTAATTTTTCTTACAGATTCTTTCAGGGATTTCAAATCAATTTATATTATATTAGACAATGGAAGTCTGAACTGACGAATCGAGTCATCTACGCAATTGAATAGTCTTTTATAGATATAATAAATGACAGTAGAAATCTAGTAAGATTAACATTTCTAGAATCTGAACTGGTTGAGTTTTAGTCTTTCATGTAAATGTACTAATAATGAAGTTGAATAAATTATTAGGTATATGCCACTATAAGAATAATTTTGAAAATGCAAAGAGATCGCGATTTGCCTAAAGTTGTTCTACTACAATTAATTTTTTATTTTTTTGTATACCAAACATATTTTACTTGTTTCAACTAGGAGATATAGTGTTCAATACGCATATTGCATTAATATAATTGAATTCATATATACATGACTGAAGTTCATATTATTTCGATTTTGAATTGCTTACTATTTCTGAGCAATATCTGCCACGTATAGGTGATAGGCAGTAGACCCTTGAATGTCTTAAAAACAATCACTTTCAATCTCTTTTGCTGAAACTTTTTTAAAATGCAGTAAATTACTATAAACTGAATTCAAGTTAAGATTACAATAGTGACTTATTCAAAAGTATTTGCGTAGGTATTGAAATGTTGATAATTTATAGATTGGCTGCAATGTACACAAACACAGAAGTGGAAGCAATAAAAGATAGAAAAGACAAAATTCAATCCCGGTTATTTACAAAGCTTATCCAGTCTTTGGCAGAACCTGAACCCGAAAGTGTCAGAGGTCATTGGTGCTCTCTTGCAAGAGTTTTTCAGTGTGAGAAGTGCCAGCTACTAATTACTCCCGATGTTGCTGCTAAAATACCTTGTATACCCCAGTGCATGCGCTTACAGCCAGACGGATCCGTCATAAGTTTACATATCAGGTGATAAATCAAATTTTACAATACTTTGTAAAAAATTAGTTATTTATCCATTATGTAAGAATCTTCTTTTCTAAAGACATTGCCAAAATGTGAAACTTGAGACCTTCGTTATTTTATGAAAGCTGAAAATTCAATGTATCTTCTATAAAGTTTGGATCATCGTGGCTTCAACAGATAACAACTAGCACTGCCGCGTACCTTTAAACTTTAATGAATCGTAACTATAGCTACGTTAGAGTTTTAAAGCTGAATTTTATATACAGGGGTGCGCAAAAGACCGGAATAAAATTAATATGATTTGAAAGGGTTATATTTTTAGGAGTGATTAATTTTTTGGGAAAGAAAGTTTTTGGCTTTCTACTACTCCATCTGATACAAAAAAATGGATGAGAGAATCTTCCAAAGAAAGGAAGGAATAATCAATTTGAAAATAAATAACTCTATACATTGCATGATCTACACATCCATGTATAGAGTTATTTATTTTCAAATTGATTATTCCTTCCTTTCTTTGGAAGATTCTCTCATCCATTTTTTTGTATCAGATGGAGTAGTAGAAAGCCAAAAACTTTCTTTCCCAAAAAATTAATATCTTTTTAACCAGTTTTCGAAAAAAAACGCTGAAACACGTCAATTGATTTTACGTTGTACGCATTTTTTGGCAATAAAATGAATTTTTTTTTTCAATCCCTTAGCTGCAACCCTCCCCAACTTTTTTTTTCAAATGCAAACCTATGTCGTGTATGGGCTCATTGAAAAGCTAGAAAAAAAATGAAATCTGACCATACCCTTTATTTTTTTTTACTCATACCACGAAATGAGAAAAAACTCTTTTAAAACCAAAAAAGTTAGAAATACCTACTTAGTTCTATCTACGGGTGAATTAACGTTGGAAAAAACAAATAAGTGGTGATGATGTACATTGCTCAACAATTGCTAAGGATCACCAGTACCTACTTCTGGATTGGACGACGTGGTACAATTGAATGGCCGCCAAGATCCCCAGACTTAACGCCATTAGATTATTTTTATTGGGGATATATGAAAGACAAGGTTTATCAAAATAGGCCGGCTAATATTGAAGATCTAAAAAGCAGAATTAGAGTGGAATCACATAATATACCAGCTGAGGCCATTCGGAATTCCGTAGACGGTTTTCACCATCGCCTAGGAGCCTGCCAAGTAGAGGGTGGAGGCCAGTTTCAGCATCTGTTACGTTAATTCACCTGTAGATAGCACTAAGTTAGGTATTTGTAACTTTTCAAAAGAGTTTTTTCTCATTTCGTTTTAACCACAAAAAAATAAAGGGTATGGTCAGAAACCATTTTTATGAGCTTTTCAATGAGCCCATACACGACATAGGTTTGCATTTGAAAAAAAAAGTTGGGGAAGGTTGCAGCTAAGGGGGTCAAAAAAAATCATTTTATTGCCAAAAAATGGGTAAAACGTGAAATCAAATGAGGTGTTTTAGCGTTTTTTTCCTAAAATACTGGTTAAAAAGATATTAATTTCATTCCGGACTTTTGCGCATCTCTGTATGTGTTATTTGGGTAACCATAAGGAGGCGTTTCCTTTGAAGCCGGACGATTTCGACAGTTCCAACACCTGACTGGACAAACTTGAAGGTTATAGGTGTAGATGAGAGCTCAATTTTTTCTGTTTTTTTTTGTGAATATGCATCCGAGCGGGTGCGAATGATACAGTAATTGTTTCAATTCGATTTTTCATTTTTATTTTCTAATGCAATCCTATCTTTCTATTTCCTTGTCAACAATGTATCATATAACAACTTTTCTTGCAAAATCGAAAATGTCGGTTATTAGCATGAGTGGTTCACTCTAATCATTCATAAACCACTATGTGAATATTGGTTTGATCCAAACTGTGTGATTTTTTATTTTCACTGCGTTTCGTCTGACCCGTGCTAGGGATCACACGTTGAACGGTAAAATCTCGGCAATCCTTAGCTCGCAGTTTCGACTCCTGAAAGTTGTCATCCATAGGGGCGGCAAGTGGAAAACAGAAAAACATTTTAACACATTGTGACATGACAAACAGATTACACTTATTTTATAAACTGTACAAACGAATATATACATAACCATACACAACTTGAAAAATTAACAAACATAAAAAATATCGACTACACAATTAAGGACTCCTTTATTCTTCACCAGTGTCTATAGAACGAGTTCAGTTTTGACAGTACTGCATTTCACATCTGAATCTTTGCAAAAAATTGCCTTCCATGTTTTCAGAGATCCATCTTGGAATATAAATGCATATATTTTGAAGCTACAGAAGCAATTGAAAACATGGCGTAAAATCTATTGGCGGCTCTGGGGCGATGCACACTTTCTCTTTTGTGTAACGTGCAAAAGATACTTTCCTTCAAACCAAATTGGTTGGTGTAGGTTCCATCCAGATACACCACAATTTTTTACACTGGATGCCCAGAAAGCCCCACTACCTATAGGAAGGTTTCCTTGCTGCGGTGAAAGGGCTTATAGATTTCAGTTGCTTGAGAACTTTTCAGGATGTCAGTTTCGACAGCATATGGTAAGTATGTATTGAAATTCATAGAATGATATGCCTATTAGGCTTCTTCAAAGATAACAAAAACTGTCGTTTATAATCAAATATCAAACTTTTTAGCATTTTATTACATAATCACTCTCGGTCAGCACGATTGTCCTTCTAATTATTCCATCAAAACAGGGTCAACTCAATATATTCATGAAAACGTCAATTTTACCCAAGCCGCGCATTCTATACGAGCGAAAGTAAAGCGGGAATTAATGGGCATTTATGGACCCATCCAATTTTGAATTGAATCTTACATAAGTGGTTAAACTCTAAAAGTTTTTCTAGAAAATATATATTTTGCTTTAGTATGCAGTTGAAGCATTATAGTATGGGAAAAGGTCACATAAATTGATGATATTGTTTATGACCTTGAATAAAAAAAGAAATGAATAATATTTACGCCTTACCTCGAGACTACAAAAATTGTGAGTTACAAGCAATTCATCATAGGGTAATCCTACAGTAGGATACGCGTACCTTCAAGTTTAAAAGACATATTTCAGGAAGCGCCTCTGTAGGGCTTCTAGTTGATTTATATTTACCTGATAGTAGTGACTCCACACGACAGATGCATATTCCAGCCTAGATCAAAAAGTGAAATAAAGTAATTTCAATGTTGAAGCTTTTTCGAAGTCTTTTGTATTTCTAACTAAGAATCCATACATGCGATAAGCTGCCGTTAGAGTAATGTCAATATGTTTAATGAAAGAGAGGGATGAATCAAAAGTAACACCTAGATCAGTGAGTGTGTCAGGGCGCTCCAGAAGTTGATTGTTTACGTAGTTATGTAAATTCAGGGCGAGACGTTCGCAATCATTAGAACATGTTATATTGTGATAAAGTTTCAAGTCATCTGCATATAAAAGGGAATTGACATCAATCTCAGCTCCGATATCATTAATGAACATATTGAACAGTAGGGATCCTAGATTTGATCCTTGTGGTACACCAGATGTGGCTATATATTCGATAGACTTGAGGCCATTGATTTGGGCGTACTTCTTACGGTTGTAAAAATACGATTTGAAGAAGGTAATTAATTCATTGGATAACCCAAAAGACTTATGAAATCTTCGATATTACTCGGAAAGATGTAGAAATACTTTCAAAGAAAATGGAAGTGTTCCCTGCACAGGCATATATCTATACAAGCTGTTAATATACTTCCATTCTAATGAACACAAGTTTGATAAAAAGATGCACACAATCACGACATTCATCTATATAGGTTATACAACCAGAAGATATAAAAAAAAATCACCATTTCATTCTGGAGTGTACGTCTATATGGTACCAGAAACCTGAAACAGAAAAAACACCGCCCAAATATTAAAATGGTACTAAGTCGTGGCCGCTTCTATTCACTGGGTGAATATATAAATTTCAATATTGGTTCCTTAACAAAATTGAAATATGCTATCAACGCTGAAATATATTTTGTAACTAATTATAAATTAGGAAGTACAAATGAGGCTGATAAAATTATATGTTTATGTTCTGTACATCTACGTTAAGTAATCGCCTACATGTGAGTACTGTAGCTAATGTCATTGTAAAATATGATCAGAGATGAATGAAATTGTCTATCCATGTATTTATTAGAACGTTCCATCGCCGGTTACCTCTGCGGTTACCCCTGCGGCTTCGGGAGTTACAGTAAGTCCGCGTAACCCTTGCCTCTTTCAAGAGGCATCTAAAAAGGGCTTAATTCAGTAGTGTTATGCGAACGTTCAGATCACTGACACATAAATTTTGAAATCGGAGGGTACCATACCTCGATGCTATAATGACAATGAACATTGTCCCATTGATCTAACAGGAATATCCCTCGATGGAATAAAGATCTGGCACGTATGAGACAATGAAACAGAAAAGCCTTTAAAAACGCAAGGAACAGACCCAAGATACTCTCGAAAGAACCTCAGGTCTCGATGAATAACTTGAGAACAAATAACAGGTATTACACAAAAATAGGAGGAGAGACGATAAGAGAACTTCTTCGGGTGCACTTTCCCGGTTAAGAAATTACTAATATAACACCAGAGTCCTGGACAAACTGGTTCCGTACCAAAGATTTTGGTACGGACTGGGAAATGGGTAGGTATTTAAGAAATATAAAGAGTACTGGAAAAACACCTGCGAACACAGGAGGAAAAACCTATCTAAAGGGACCTTCCTAGAAGAGAACCGAAGAAATGCTTCAACAAAGCAGGGATTGGAACAATTACATGGCTACTCACTGAAGGAACAACTGAATAAAATAGGGCTGTACAGCGAAGATCTAAGCGGCAGGCAATGCAACAAACGAATAGAGGCAACTCGTCACATTTTATGGGAATGTGAGGCTTTGGATTACAAGATGCAAACAATAGGTATATGGACAACCCAAATTGTGTCCAGAAGAATATTACATATATCCAGCAAGATACCGTACAGACTAGCACAGGGAACAAGATTGTTGGATTGGATGTCACGAAAAGATTGGGAGAAAACACGATAACCCTTGGGGCTGTAGTATTTTCTGGAGACTTGGAAGAAATGGACAAGTCAGGCGGCTCCCAGGAAGCGAAAAAAAATCAGAGCGAGCTCAGACCCATCGAAAAACAATTCTTATAGTACAAGAGAAATTAACATTTCTAATATTAGTAGGAAGATTAGATTTGCGGTATGCAGACATGTAAAAAAAATGAGAAATTGTGTCCCGACCGAGATTCGAACCCGGCTCTTTTAGGCAGGCGCATTAACTACGCTATCGGGATCACTAAGCAAAATGACAGCGGAATCACATTTTAAATTCAGTCTTCCATGCCGTAAGTGGGAAAAGGATGGAATTTGTTAATTGTGATGATCTAACTTGGTGAGTCTGGTAGCTTAGTTGGTAAATGCGCCTGTCCGTTTTTCCTTTTAATACGTCTGCATTCCTCAAATCTATTCTTTTGAATGACTGTATTGTTGTTTCTTCCATCATAGCTTGAACAAACACATTTCTATTCACACTTTTCACTTACCTGTACTCACTAGAATCGTTGATAGTGGAACATAAAATATAAAATAATTCAACAATGAGTACAAGACGTTACCAGCAATTTGGTACTGAAGTATTTTCAATAATTTAATGTTAGATGTCATTGATATTGAAACATATCAAATTGTTTGAAAACAGTTGAAACAAAATTAATTTTCAGTTTTTAATCAGTTGAATTCCAATTATTGGTGAAAACCCCTATATTATTTCCAAATAAAAAATCTTAATATTTGAAAATAGGTGTATCTGATGAGGAAACCAGTAAATATGATATAAACAGAATAATTAAAATATAAAACGAAACCATGAATAAATCCAAATAGAAATGTATTAACAGATACGGCCATTCCCCTTAATTTTACCAATTGGTTCATGAAATTTGTGCATAAAATGTTTTTTCATTACATATCACCCTAGTTAAAGTTGAGCCTCAGTAAAAATTGAGTAAAATAGTATCATAATAACAATTGATTTCATTTTTAATTACTGGAAGTCATTGAATCTAGGTTTGTACTGAGGATGTAAGAGATTCAGCAATATTCAGCATGTTAGAATCATACAGACATCTCATAGAAGAGGAGCCTCCTCAGCTATTGTTTCCCGAAAGATTAACTAGACTAGTGGCAAGAGGTGAGTTTCAATCATGAACCTTGACTATTGTTTATTATTTGAATTGACTATGTTCTCGTTGAACTAAAAGTTAATCCTTAGCTTGCACAAGTTTCAACTTTTGAGTGTTATCTTTAAGAATGGGGTGACAGCTGTTTAACGAATGAACATATTTTGTTTTAACATATTTGAAAAATCCAAATCTGTGAATAATTTTTTCCTAGAATTTTCATGGGATAATAATCTGTTAATGCAAAATTGAGTTATTTATTCATTTTGATTACACTGTAAATATAATTTAAAAAATACCGACATTAAATTCTTCATAACTATTGAAACTAGTCTGAAAATTTGAGGATATTGTGTAACGTCATTACTCAAACGGTATATTTAGTACGGTATTATAATGGTATTATAGTGTGGTTTTTTTCTCTTAAATAGAAATTTGATGGAGAACGTATTTGACTTGAATGAGGTGGATGTAACATTAACTGACATTATTCAAAATTATGATGCCAACAAGATTTTTTCCACAGAACTAGGAACTTCCTCATTGTAGTTTGCATATCCAGCAGTATTTGATCACCAAATTGTATAAGAGGTCTGAGGTACTAAAAAATTCACTTTAAGTAATATTCTTAATTCCTGCAGATGCTCCATATCATCTTCATAATAGCACCTAATGATATTGTTTGTGAAAAAATATTGGATTTTTGCGAAAACTACATCTTGTTATATTATTTTATTCTCTATGATCTTTATTTGAATTGTGAATAACCTCTGCTATTTATTGGTAATTGTGTTCTGATATGTTTTCTATAAAAAAATAAAGGAAAATGTTGAATATGAAAGAAAATTGATATATTGCTATTGATATAAGATTGGGAAGAAAGCAAGTAATAATTGACTTGCGAGATTTTTTTCATTTTCAAAAGTGCCAAAATATGATTGTAATTATTATTTGTTGAATGATAAGTTCACTTTTTTACATTTATGTATTTACAATATAGTTTTTTATCATACATTTAAAAATATTTCTACATTTCTTTATCAAAGTTGTTTTTTCAGACACAGAACCTGTGTTTTCATTCTAACTCTACACTGCCTCAAAGTATCCTCAACAATAGTCATTTCAGAATTTTCTAATAATGGTAAGGCATCCAAAGCTTCTTTAAAGTATCCTTTGGCATCATCGGATATATAATCCTGAAAAAAGTCCTGCAGCGCACCTACATCAATTCTGGCCTGCTGGTTTCCCTCTTTGCTAAATTTTTGGACGCATGACATGAGTCTATATAGTTCTTCAGAAATTGTTTCAACGATCCTCGGTAAGACACTGTCTAAAAGAGTTCCTGATATATTATTTACCTCTGACAGAACGCTAATCAGGTTGTTTATGCATTCTTTTGCATAAGGCCGCATATCTGTTGGTGATATATTGATGTCCCAATCAAAACGGCCTAGGTACATTGAAGGCTCAATGGTACCAACCAAAGGATCACTTTTCTGTTCTAAATACTTATCAAGTATTGACTTTTCCAGTTGATGGAATTTTACTTTAGCTGTTCTGATTGGAAATTCTACAGATGAAAATCCTGTATCTTTGAATTTAGATGCAATTTCATCTAGAATAGTATTCTTTGTGAATAAGCAATTAGATAAAGTGATCAATAGTCTATGTTCCCATGATGGAATTTTTGGTCCTGATGAACCAAGTTTATGGGAGCTCACAGGAGTACCAATTAGTTGTGAAACCACTGGTGATGAATCATCACACTCATCATCATCTTCAGAAGAAACATTGTTTAATACATTATGAAATGATAACACAATGTTGTTGACTTGCCGTTCTAATTCTTTTTGAGCAGAGTTGTTTTCCAGTAAAGAGCTTTCTCTCTGCTCTATTGATAAAGCAGATTCTTTCACAATTTGCATAACATCTTCAACTAACTGCAAAAACTTCAAAGGTAATTCAGTGATACCTGAATACTTTCCACTGAAGTTTATTCTCCAGTCTTCCGTGAGCTGCTTAATTTGTTCTGTAGTTTGCTGGAAAAGGATGCTCATGCAATGTATCCGCAGATCAAGTAGGAGAAAATTAACTATATCGAGAGCTTCATTTGGTAGATCTAGTTTGATTAATGTTGAATAAGTAGAACGTACAGATCGTAATAGTTCAGGTAGATAAATGGCAACTTCATCACGCTCAGGAATACTCAAAGTACCAAACTGAGTTCGTTCAGATTTGTCAAGTGTGTTTGGAATTATACTGGCTCGAACATGTTTGCAGAATGTTTCAATGACTGACAAAACCATGTGTTTATATTCAACCTAGAAAAAAGTATATGTGTATCTTCAATGTATTACAGATTATAATAATAATAATAAATTGTCTTTATTTATACTGGCGGAGTTTAGCTTATGCTACTCTTCCACTCAACCAGTGAGTAAAAAGATGCAACATTTTATTACCATTCTTAGAACATACGTTCCAACTATGGCAACTCAAAAAAATTAAGTTGCATACTTGAACCTGTTGTATAAAGAAATTTTTCATTATGAATATTGTACAAAGAATTTACGTATTCTAAACTGAATAACTTTTTTCGAGATCAATTTCCCTAACACCAAACTGATATTTTTGCACTCGATCAATTTTCTTCTCCTGAGGATGCTAACTTTGTTGGCGAAACGCGCTTCGAGTGCAAAAATATCAGTTTGGTGTTAGGGCAATTGAACTCGAAAAAAGTTGTTAAACTTTCACACCAAAGGTTCCAATCTCATCGGTATTCTAAACTAATTACCACTTCATTTTTTTTTCTAAAGCACAAAGTTTAACTTACTTTTATAATGTTATAATTTTTTCTACTAGTGATTATATTTTACAAACCTGACGTCCTGCTTCCACTTTTACTTGTAATTCTCCTGAAAAATATGCCTGACCAATTTTCCACATATCAGGAAATATTTCAGAAAGGGTTGAACAAATTTCATCGGTAAAGTTAACACAAACAGGAACTACATTCAACTCCACTTGTGAGGTATTGTATTTAGAGTACTTTGAAGTAGAATTTGTTTTTTTTGTGCTGTCAGCTTTGTCCAGAGATTTATGAAAGTTGTAAATAAATTTGAACTTATCATTTATATATTCTGATCTACTTTTGATTGCATCCCAAGCTGCATCATATGGAGAATCTAAATTGATTAGATAACGAATGAGACGTTTTTGTTGTTCAACGGTAATAGGCATTGTCTGAAGATCCTCATGAAGTTTTTTTTGTAAATCCACTATTCGCCTTTCTATTTCATTTAAGGCTTCCTTGAAAATCGGTATGTCTGTTTTATGGAATAGATTTTTAACCCTCATATAGTCATTTATTACTATGTCATATTCCCCCTTTTTGATGTTTCTATCAATAACACAAGGTAGACAAAACAGAAATTTGAATCTTGATAGTACATTTAGTGCATTTCTCGTCTTTTCAGCACGATCTTTTCTAGCCAAGACATCATCAAACAATTTCCGTGCTTCACGTTCAGATTCTTTTATTGACTTTTCCAACTTCAGAGTAGTTTCATTACCAAATTGGGACCTATCTCTTTCAAATTTTTCTTTGAGGTTAACCAAGGTATCAACTTGTTCCATCACAGAACCTATATTGGCCTTAAGAAATGATAACTGGCCCTCCTTTTGACCCTGGACTTTTCTACGGAGATGTACCAATCCTGCTTGCAGATCATTGAAACTTGTTGCTTGGTGGTTTTCTAACAGAAACCAAATTGGAGAAAATTGTGTGCTACCAATATCTCCAGATTTCCCTGAAATTGTGCATCCAAAACAAAATATTCTTGTAAGCCTATGCTAAAACTTTACCTGGAAAATAACTTGTTAATTGTTCTTCATTAATTTTATTTTCATTTTCTTCAACTGACAATCCTAATGGGTCTTCTTGTTGAAAGCTACTAGGACTCAGAGAATGTCTGCCCCACGAGTACATTGGCGTTTCCTCGACCCAAACTGCACTCTCTTTCATGGGTCCTATTGATGTTAAAAGATATCCTTTGAATATTACGTTGCAAGTTCCAGTTCCACCATACTTGGTAGTCACAATAACGTCCCCTTGAACTTTTATAGGTCCCGAAATAGCAGTTATCATTGTTTGGGATTTCCATTCTGCAGTTAGGAGGCAGTCCATGCCACATATTGTTAGACCAATGAGATCGGAAGGTTGGGTACCAAAGTGTTCACCTCTTATTTTGATTTTTGTACCTGGAGGCCCTTCGTTCGGGGACAATCCTGTAACAACTGGGGGCGGTGCCATTTAGTTTCCAATTGGTCTATTTTGTAAACTTTTGGCACATTTTGAGAAGTATTAGAAAAATAAGGTCATTTAAATAACAGCCAAACATTTATGTTTCCTTTCGAGTTCAGCTCAATATTGATTTATTAATATTTTTAAGTTTTCAAATTTGTCATATTAACCTAGAACCATAGGATAAAACTTCAAATAGTTAATCTGTGATGAACAACTGTCATTTGTCCGTGGTCCTTATTTAAGTTTTAGAACCGATGTTGCCACGTAGTATCCACTAGTCGAGTAGGTTATCCACGACCAATGTGCGTAAACAAATACCGTTTTCTATTGGAATTTGCTCCAATTCGCGGTTGACATAAAAATATCAGCAATTTTAAAGTGAATGGTTAATTGAGCGACCGTTTCGGTTGATGATTTCATTTGGAGTAAATTTTTTGTGACAGCGGCATTGACTTTTATACTCATTAAACTCATATTCTAGGTAGGCGATTTTCATAACTAGAATAACTACCCCAGTCACCTAGAGAGGATCGTGACTTTTCGTAAAACAATATCTAGTTGGCTGTTGACCCATAATTGTTGTAAAAACATCAAAATTATCCCCTTTCATAATGTCGGTCCACAAAGGCCCCTAGATACCAATTTTGAATGAAATCATGAATTGTAATCGAAAATTCTTCATATCGGACCTCACAGACCGTACCGCTTGTTTATAAAATCTGATAATAAATCACAAATTTCTTCATCTGATTATTTGAAGCAAAGTTCTTTACTTTTGAAATTAACATTTATCATTGTTATGAATTAGCTCATATGAAATAATTTAATTGTAACCCAGTAAACCACGCGCTTTATTTTAAAGCCATACATAAATGAAAATCTAGTAGCTGGTAGAAACACTGGTCTCATTTCCAAAATCATTATTAATATATCAGATTTCGTGTAGGAACTATTTGAACAGAACACATTTTCACCTGAAATGATTTTTTTCATAAATATATACTATCCCTCCGATTATCAACTAAACCAAACGCCACTGTTTTATCCAACTTACTTACTGTAAACAAAGTTATTCTGCCTTCAATGTAAGGATGGGTAAGGCCTCTCTATTGTCTTTTGTTACTCTGAGGTGATTACTGTTTACGCGTCAATTCTGAAATTATGAGAACCGCATGTTAGGTGATTTTAATAAAAATTGGTATTTCGATGGTTTACTTTTACCTTGTCGAAAATTATCAGAATCAGTCAAAAGAACATAATAGTGAATTTTCATATCTATTACTAGCGAAATGAATGAAAAAGAGTTCCAAACTTTACCTCAACGGAGAATACATTTTTGCAATTCAGTCATAGCCCCCTGAATTGCAAAATAAGATATAAATGATCACCTATAGAGGGAGAAATGTTCTACTCAGGACTACTTGCATCTCGGCCGATGGCCAGCTCTGCTGAATAATAATAATACTATAAAACCGCCTATAAATTTGCTATTTTACATGTGGTCAGTTATATCTTATGTGATTGTATTAAAAAAGAAAAAACAATAGAATGTTTTTTTTACAAATCGTTTTCGAATTTTAAAGCATCTGCTATGAGCTCCAGCACATATAGTGTTTTCAGCTTGGTCCGTCCAAATCTTCTATAAAAGACCAACTCCTCGAAACAGTTGGACCTCCTAAAAATTCTTTGAGAAAATCCAAAATCAATGACGTGTAAGATGCCATTATCCTTTTCCAGCATGATTTCATCTTCTAGTTCCATCATTCTGCAACAACTGATTTTGATTCCGTTTACTTGAACATTTCAGTAAAACGACACTTTCATTATTTCCAAAACTAAGGAATAATAAGTGAGGTTATGATGTCTAAATAAGCTTGCCTTTACATATAAAGCCACCGAATTTGACCGCTTATATTTAAGCGATCTTGAAGGCGTTCGTTGATACGGTGCATACAAAACTGAAGCGAGCTTACCCCTTGAGATTCGCTTACTGGTAGACCGCGAATACTCGCGTGGTAATTCAACTCAGATTCAGATCTCAGATTGTTTCATAAATATGACAAAATTGACAATACGTCACTAGATTGTTGTTCTTGTTCTTTTAGCATTTTACATTATACTTGTGGTTTAATCTTCTGTGATCTCGTCACAGAATAATCAGAATTGCAAGTGACCATTGACGGGAAAGATTGCGCATCGTCGAGGCGCATCTTAATCTTGGTTTTAATTGACATGTTGTCGATTACAATGAGCCAGTCTTATCTTCTTTTCTAAGGAGCCAGATGATTGTTCGCTCCATCGTTGTCAGATTGTGTTAATTGTACCTACACTCGAGAAAGTGTTATAGGTAATATTTTGTTTAAAATGGAGAAGGGTGTTAGTGGCGGATTTGCGTGTGCCGCAAGGAACTGTTTCCATAATTATTACAAAAACAGGTCTCAAAGTTTTTTCATTTTCCCTTAGATCCAAAAAGGTAAAAATATCTAAGTATTATGTATATAAGTTTTCAATTTCAAGTTTTTTTTCAAGTATTGCTAAATTATTCATTTCAATGTGTCAGGATTATTTATTGTCAATATAAAAGTAATTTGTTGACTCAAAAAATATAGTAATAATGTCTTTTTTTAATCCGAATTCCAGTATTGATACTGCTCTGCTTAATGCTTAACCGCGTACCATTTACGAATCCCCACTAATATTATAAACGCGAATGTAAGTTTGTTATGGTTTCACGCGAAAACTACTCAATTTTTTAAAAATTGATAATTCCAGCCAAGCATTAATATATAGTTCTTATATTGATTCATTTCTATTGTGCTGACACTTATTTAATGTCATAAATGCGCGCGAAGCCGCAAGTAAAAGCTAGTATTCTATGTTATAAACACTTTTTCAAGCAAATAGAACTAATATAGTTGATAATTCTACTTAATTACACACATGAAAGTAATATACATTATGAAGAGGTGGAAATCTGTTTACCGAATGAGGATAAAAAAATAATGAAAAAATAAAATCAAACAATGTATTAATGTAGAGATCAATCTACACATAATAAACGCAATCTTTCAATAATACTTCTAGTTTTTTCATACTCGATCATTGAAGAAGATTTTGTAATTTTACATCCATATGACGAAATCGGTCACAGGATAGAATGATTTCCGAGAAGACTGGGATACTTTCTTTAATTTGAGAAATTATGTTAATACCTGAGAGTGATGATTAATTATTCGGCGACACCAGTGAATATTCCATTTTGTCATTCACAAACTGTTTGTGTTAAGTATTTTTTGATGTTTTTTATTTGAACATTTTATTTTATATTATATACCCCTGAAATAATTTTTTATAATTATATTGTGTATTACTTCATTTCCAATATTGAAGTCAATATCCATTATTAAGATTCGTCAAGTTCTGCTTCAAAAGTGTCTAATTCTTTAATTTTTTCATGTATCCTCCCCCACAAAACAAAAATATCAATGAATAACAATTTAAATATTTTCGGAATATATTCCCACATGTTCTTCCAGATTATCTGGGATGATATTAAAGCTAAAGATGGTCCTGAACTTTTTCGTACGTATTGGGCAAAGCCGACCCTCAGATTTACACCGAAATGTCATTATCAAGGTCCCTGAAAACACAGCTATGGACTTCTAATTCTGATTCTCTATTCTGTGATCTCGTGTTACAGTAGAAAGTGTGGTGTTGTTCTTGTTCACATTTTGAAGGTTAATGAAACAAAACCTGTAAAATATATCGTTAATATGGGGAACCCAAAACCTTTATTTCGAGATTTGAATGCAGATGATCCAGAACCTGAAACAACAGAAATCGAATCTTTGTGTATGAATTGTCATTCTAATGGTATAACAAGAATTCTTTTGACGAAAATTCCCTTTTACAAGGAGTTGGTTTTGATGTCCTTTAGTTGTGAAGAATGTGGTTACCAAAATAATGAGATTCAATCTGGAGCAGCCATCGCAGAAAAAGGAGTAAGATTTACTCTGAAAGTCAATACTCCAAGAGACCTTAACAGACAAGTAGTTAAAAGTGATTATACAAGTATTAAAATTATAGAGCTTGATTTTGAGGTACCAGCAAAGAGCCAAAAGGGAGAAGTGACTACAATAGAAGGGGTTATTGATAGAAGTGTTTCAGCTCTAGAGCAAGATCAACCAGCAAGAAGAGAACAGCATCCAGAAGTGGCAGTACAAATTGATAAATTCATTAATAAACTCAGGTACCTAAAAGATTTGGAAACATCATTTACTTTTGTCTTGGAAGATATTTCTGGCAACAGTTTTATAGAAAATCCTAATGCTCCTGCTATAGACGAGCAATGTTCAGTTCAATACTTCATTAGAAACAATGAGCAAAACAAAGAACTAGGTATACTCGATACTGATGAGGTAAAATCAAAAGAGGAAAATGCAATATTACACTCTATACCTGAAGGTGAATTCACATTGGAAGATTTAGAGGGTGAAGTTCTGCAGTTTCCAACAAACTGTCCAAATTGTGGGTCTGCTTGTCAGACTAATATGAAAATGACAAATATTCCACACTTTAAAGAAGTTGTTATAATGGCCACTAACTGTGATGTATGCGGAAGTAAAACCAATGAGGTAAAGTCAGGCAGTGGAATAGAAGAGAAAGGACTGAAAATTGAGGTTGACATCAATAGCAAAGATGACTTTTCCAGAGATCTACTGAAGTCAGAAACATGTCATCTGCAAATTCCTCAACTGCAACTTGAAGTTGGTCCTAACGCACTTGGTGGGCGATTTACTACAGTTGAAGGCCTCATTGCAGCTATTAAAGACCAGTTAGGTGATCATAAACAATCCCTTATATTTGGTGATTCCTCTCAGCCTGAATCTAAGCAGCGCTTTGAAGAATTTCTCAAAAAACTTGACAACATCCTTGAAGGAAATTTGGCTGTCACACTTATACTTGATGATCCTGCTGGCAATAGTTACATCCAGAGCTTAAGAGATGATAATGAACCTGATGATAGTTTGAGGATTACTCATTATGATAGGTCAGTTGAGCAAAATGAAGAATTGGGTATTGCTGATATGAAAACAGAAAATTATGAGAGTTCGTGATGAAACTGTAAACATATATGTAAATACTAGTTATACCAGTTTTAATAATATACTTCTCATGACAAATTATTTTGATTCTTTCCTTCATACCGATAAAATGATGAAGACCAGGCTACCAAAACAAAGTTTTACAGCCATGAAATGCTACTGTCCAACAGTGATAATACTGACATCCATGAAGTTATCATCTAGGTGTAATTATTCTTGAATTACACGAGACTCTCGGGGCTTAGTTATGCATCATTCTTACGATTTTTAATCCAGTGACAATTCACTGTCCGAATCAAATTGAACCAATGGAATCAAATATTCAAATATAATTTTAACTAAATATTAAAACTTTGCCCAAATGCTTGTACTGAAACGTACAGGTTTGGTTTGATATTATGATTATGACAGTAACTATACCCTAACTCTACTGAAATATCTCAAAATAAATATGTAACTCAAATATAACTCATCGATACAAGAGAACAAATCCTTCAATTCAAACTCTTCCTTGAATACCAACAGTTTTTATATAATATCCAGAAATCTCAAGATCATAATCAAAACTTATTTGTGTAATAAGACATTTTTAACTGAAATGGAAATGTTATTCTGAATTTCAGTAAATTAAAAAAAAGTGAATTATTGGTGTTGTATCTATCGGCGTCAAGTAGGTAGGTCGGCTATTGTTGACAAATACATTATTAGTTAATTACATACTCTGTTTATATATTGTAACATTGTACTTTCAAACAAATGTTTTTGCTGAAATTTCTCGTCATTCAAGTAATAAAATTATTCGATTTGCGAATTGATATTTTCATTCTTATATAGGTGAATTGAGCTGAGAATATTTCAGGAAATGAACTTGTCGAATACTAGATAAATGTCATTTTTTCTAATCCAAGTCTTGTTATTTTTGAGAAATACCAATTGAGTACCCAGCAGTAGATGGCTGAATAACAATATTTTCGTTAAAAAATCGGAATTTTTCAATAACATTTTTTGGGTCGTGTGGCATTACTATTGATGCAATTTTGTTTTAAGTTACAAAATATCAAACTTAGTATATTAGAAAAGGATTTTTTCAGTGGTTCAGTTACAACCAAAATTTAAACATGAATAGCATTCCATATTAAAACTCAGATTTATTTCACCACTAAGCAAAAATCATAATGTATTTCTCATTGTTTAACATTTCTTCCTGCTGAGGACTAAATCTTTTTTGTTAGAAATTTTTGTTGCTCCTGCCCGAGCTTATACACACATTTCTCGAGAGGTATATGAAAATTAGAGTAAGGAATTGACTTTCAGTATGATATTCACTACGAAAAATCTAGTGTGATAGTACCTAAAGTTTGTTAAGATCAAATCATGAGGTGTAGTTTATGAAATTTTGTTGTAATGAGGGACTATTTGTTTCCATGTACACAGTTTCTTCGGGAAGTGTATCACATATAATGTTCACCTATACTTGAGCTTAAAGTTTTGCCTGTTTTCTTTGTACATTTAAAATCCTTTTCTGGTAGAGAAGGGATCTCTTCTTACACGTGGTCAGTCTAGTTTTCAAGTTTGTGTTTTTCTGAACATAACTGCTAGTCTTTCTATTTCTGATTTAACTTGGTCAAAGTAGCTCTTTTCGAATTATTTTCTGACTTCTTCGAATTGAAGTTCTCCGATTGCGATTAGAGGGCTGATATTAAATTTGGGCTCTACAGTATTGCTGTACCGCAAGTGAAAGTCGGAAAGTTTTAATATAAATGTTTATTTTCTTGTTTAACCTTTTGAATTGAATAATGCTATAGCATTTTCAACTATCGGATTTGTTGGCAATGCCTCTACCATTGTTTATGTTTTGGTAAAACCATATCTGCTAAATATTGGGGTATTCGAAAAACATGCTGTCCGCATAGCGTTGGAATGTAGAATGGGTTGCCTAACGAAAAGGATAATATTTCAAATTCATTATTCTTCCTGAATGTTGAGTTTTTGAGCGGTGCTTATAAAAACACATTATTTCTTGCTGTTTTTAATGGCATTTTTGAAGTAATACTGTATTTCCCATTAAAAAAAGAATAATATCACAACACTCTAATGAAAGAAATATTTCAATAATAAACAATGCGCACTATCAAAAAGCCAGCATACAAAACAATAGTATATTATGCAACGATCATGTAATGATGGTTATTAAGACACGAGCATTAACCGGGATACGAAACGAGCCGAAGGCGAGTTTTGTATGGTATATGCGGTGTATTAATAACCATTACATGAGAGTTGCATACGCTATTTTTTCTAAACCCGATAAATAATGAAAATTCAGTATCCAAATCCGAATTAAAATCCAATTCCCATATAAATGTTAAATCAGCAAAACCTAATGAAAAATCGGATTTTGTTCTTACTTATAGGTGTCGTAGAGGAAGGTTTCCTAAATCGTACCTCTTTTTACATTTTATTTTTTTTACACACCTTATAGGGAGCACCTGTGCAAAAGTACCGTAACCCTAAGAAGTATGAGTTATTTAGACAGGTAAATCTAAATTTTAGTGTCTGATATGGTGATATTAGACTAAGGTGAATCACTCTTTGTAAAGCGATGCAATCGGTACGATTTAGGAAACTAGTTGCCCAAATCGTACCTCCAACTTTCTAAATCGTACCACCTTGGATAAAGTTGAAATGAAGTGAATGAAACAATGAAATGGCAAGAATGGTTGAAGAAACTTTTATTCAATGCAGTATTTTCTTATACCTTTTAGATACAAAGTGTTTCTCTTGGTCTGTGTTTTATTAAGAACTAGATACAATTTGAGCAAACAAATTTCTTGATATTTGCCTCTGAGCCGACACAAAGCATGCACTGCACCATGTCCTCGATTGAATTTTAATCACAAACCGAGCAAAACCAATCTTCAGGTTCGATTTCAATAATGATGTCACTCTGGGCAGAAGTTCCAGCTTGGTTTGAGATTACTAGATTTGGATCTATTTTTGAAACGACAGCCTTCTTTTGTTTTTTTCTTATCGGTGTCTCGGTCACTTTCATCTCTTCAGATAAAGGCCGTATTTTCATCTGGAGCTCTTTGACCTTCTCTTTAGCCAATTTCAGCTCGTGACCTACTTCAATTTCATTTTTGTAGGGGCTACCGGTTAATATACCTGTTTTTTGCACTTTTGAATTAGATCTGAGTTTAGATCCATTTCTCTTTTTGGGTGGTTTTGGAAGTGGAGACATTTCTTCGATTCGAAACATTCAGTTTTGAAGTTGAACTTCAATATCAAGAGTCTGATTTTCACCCAAGCAAGTTTTCTTTTAATCTAAACATTCACTGTCTTCTCGATTCTGATCTAAAGCTGTGTTGAGATATTCTGCTGGCAAAAAGTCTGACTCTTTAAAGATGGAGGAGTCAACGGGCCACTCACCACTACATTTAAATCCGTTACACGAATTCTCAATCGTTGCAGCCTTACCATATGCTTCAGTTACTAATTGTGAAATCTGGTATTGAGTGACTCTCAAGCCAGGATTTGTTCGCAGCCATTTTTCTACTGCTTGGGCAAAGTAACTTTTGAAAGGCTTGAAAAATGACCTGTCTAATGGTTGCAGTCGGTGCGTTGTGTGTTCTGGTAATTGCAGCATAATTATCTAGCGTCTCGAGCGATTACCAATGCTTCTAAGTTCTTAGAATGAGTAGAATGGCCATCAAGAAGGAGAAGAACTTTTCTTTCTTTGTTTGGATTTACAATATCAATGAAGTGACGAAGCCACTTTACGAACAGATCTGAATTTATCCATCCTCTCTCTGACACATCAACTAAACTTTCAGGTGGAGCTCCAACCATCAATTCATTACACATCCTCATTCTTTTGAAAATAATCAGGGATAGAATATACATGCCTGCTGCACTTGAACATCACACAACAGTTGTATTGACACCTCTTTCTGCACTAGATATCGACCCTACAGCACGTTTCCCCTTCTCAGCTATCACCTTCTGACATTTGTTTTGTACGGTGCTTACGCCTGTCTCGTCAATGTTAAAAATAGTAGTTGCATCAATTTTATTTTCGTCAATGGTATTTTTCAAAATGTCAAAGAATTCTTTGACATTGTCTTTAGAAAGCCCTTGCCAAGGATGTAGCCTGAGGCTCACGAAGGGAGATGTCCTTGTGACGTTTCATGAAGTTGTAACACCATTTTTTACCAGTGAGGGATACCATTTCTAACAACAATTTGAAATGCGAGTCTACGCACGTCCGTTATTGTGAGCCCAAAGAAACACGCTTCTAGTTTTTTTAGATTGTCTACAAGCTGTTGCTCTACATCGGGTGGTAATGTAGGGTGACGTCCCATAGCTTTGGTACCTTCATTGGCCTTTATATTTTTACTGTCTAAATGACGCTTAAGTGTCGGTTTTGGAATTCCGTACTGTCTACTGCACTGATTGAAACCCATATCTCCGTTCCTATAAGCAGCTAGAGCTCTTTTCATATCGTCTTCATTCCACGTTCCATACTTTCGTTTTGACATTCTGAAACACATAAATTGTGTTACAATCAAGTACGCTACTTTATTTATTCAAAAAACAAACTGATCCCAGCAATATATCAGTATTCACACACAAAAAATGACGAATATCTATCATGATATTTAATGGGCTCCAAAATCGTACCGGTACAATTTGAGAAACCATTAGAGGTACGATTAAGGCAACTGGGACCCTCCGAAAACATTACCTTATTTCTAATATCACACACTCGTGTAAGCATAAAACGGCTGATTAAAACACTCAATATTAGTGTTAGTTTTACAAATTAATAATGAATAATATCAGTACGTACCTTGGCAGTTACTACGTTCTTACGAAAAAGTTTTCAAAACACTATAAACTAGCTCCAAAATAGGAAATCTTTCACAACAACTTAAAGAGTAACCGCACACGCCTCAAACTTAGTCTCGACACTACAATTAAGCAGTACTTGCTGGTGGCACCGCAAGAACGCTGTAGTCACTCTATTTCGTATTAAAATTAATGTGGTACGATTTAGGAGACGGTACGATTTTGGCGACTCTCCTCTACTCTCCGTAGTGTCAGGTTTGTTTGGAACCGATTCCTCTACACAACTTTGAGTTTGAATTGTTTTTTTTCAACTGAAAATTAAGAACTTACGAATTGATAGTTTTACAATAATTTTATTTTGTTTGAGAATGTGTTTATTAGTCAAAGTAACAATAACAAACAAGACTACTACTACTACTGCTACGAGGGCCACGCCGATGAGATACACTCAATTTCCAATCTCTTAGAAAATGATCACATTCGCATTAAATAACGAGCGATTTGGGATTCATAACTGATTGAGGTCGAGGTATTGAAAGCGAATGTTACCACGTTTATTGGTTTTCCGTGTTATGTACCTAACAATGGATTTGTGAAATATTCAATATCGGAAGGGCGCTAAGAACAACATTTTGCAAAGGGCGTGAGGGGTATACTGCCCCCCTTGCCCCACCCCCAGTGGGGCCGCCTCTGCTTTTAGTTCGAGGTATCTAGACGCCTGGTCATTTATTATAGGTAGGTTTCATATCATAGTCTAATGTAATTACTTAGAATATAATATCTGGGAAATGTAANTCCATCAGTCATGTACCCATTGGCCCATCTCAAGGCCAATGATCAGCCGAAAGGGTAGGGGAGCTGGTCTCCAAATCCTGAATGAACTGAAGATGATCGTCAAGTAGTCTTTGAATAAAATGCTGAATTACACCCGTTAGATTTTTTGGAATATACTGAAGGAGCTATTGACTTGAATGCTGTCCCATTTACTAAAATGAAAATGTTATTGAACAATGTTTTTATAAAATCGGAAAAATTGTGGGTATTGGGATATTCGGTACCAAAATAGGCCGGCTGTAAGTAAAGTTGGAGAGTGCAGTTTACACCAAAGGGCTCTTTGTGGACCATTTCAACTTTTGAGTAGGTAGAACCCTTTTTTGCAACGTCCTTACTCTCAACAGAAACTGATTGAAGTTATAGCTCCGCATTTCCCCACAAATGTAGCAAGTGTTCTCTATGGTGCTCCAGGCTTTGAAACGTTTGAATCACGCTGATGAATTTTACAAAAATGCACCAATTAAAAAGAACCGATATTTCAATAACCATGAGTATACAAATACTCAATAAAATAAAAATGTTAATAAAAACAGATTGCCAAATCAGCAAAATCAGAATGGAAATAATGAATATAATGATAGAAAAAGAAAATTAGCTAATCTTGATTTACAGGAACATTTATTTAGCAGGGCAATTATGAATTATCCGAAAGATAAATTGCTTGAGGAATGTAACTATGAATATGTTTTATAGAAATGCAACTATGAATATATTACATGAGAACAGATCTTGTTGAAATCAATTTATATTGGATGAATGTTTTAGTAATGATTGATGATGCATTGTTTTCGCTTCAGCTGAAGAAATAAAAAACTTCCACAACGTAATTTGCATGGGATTGAAAGATATTGGAGCATATAAAACAAAGTCTCAAAAAGTAGGATGAAGTCAATCTAACTTTTCGAATTCAAAACCATAATATCACTCATGAATTCTTAGTTATTCCAAGCCTTTAATTTCCGTGAATTGTAGGGTGTGATTTTTAAAGGATTTTTAGGAGCTAATTTAGATTTGATAAACATAGTTTTAATCTTAAATCATTATGTTAAATAAATAGTATTTTGGAATCAGACCTCATATACTCTGGTGTGAATGAATCTTTTGAAATAAAAGTTATTTTGTTTAAGAATATTAATGAAGGTCTTCAAGTGCTTTACAAGCAGGGACAAATGGATATTTATCAGTAGTCTGATAATGAAGTTATTTTTTATAAATTACTTCTGATTCATTTTATAATATACCAGGTTGCACAAAAAGTCATTTCCATCAAATAAAGTTGAAAGATTATACCGAATTCTTCATTCGGCCGTATCCTATTTCTGTATTACATCATGAGGCTGTGGATAGACATATTACTCAAATGGAACCTTGGGGGTAATTGAAAGAGCGCCGTCGAAATATATTTCACCTATACTGATGACTCTCGAGAAAGATGGTTCCTTTAGTATCTGTCTTGATGCCGAGCGTCTCAATTTTGTACTTGAACCAGATATTGAATTGCCCAATCCCATATAAGAAATAGTAAAACTGTTACATGGGAGGAAAATCTTGACTTTACTGGATTTTACTCACGGATATACTGGCAGGTTCCCACGAAACTGGATGATTGACAATATGTGGGATCCATGGTACCCACAAAAACATATTGGTTCTGTGTTTGCCTATCGGTTTTGCCTATGTGGTTCTATCTGTTTCACGCTGTCTTGATTTGATATTCGGCAATGATCTTCAACATCTAATCTAGTCTTCTCAAGATTGAAACGAGCAGGATTCACACGCCAGATGAAGCCATTGTATGGCGAAACACGTGTTGCGTTTTTGTAAAACAATTTAGTGAAAATCTCACAATAAAGTGGAAAAGACACGCCAGATGAAGCCATTGTATGGCGAAACACGTGTTGCGTTTTTGTAAAACAATTTAGTGAAAATCTCACAATAAAGTGTTTTTGGAATACGTGAGCAGGATTCAACCTCAAACTAGAGAAATTTAAATGTTTTCACTAGATAATGCCTTACCTGGGATATATGGTTAGCGCTGCCGGTGTACACGTCTTGACTCACAACGAATCCAGTCTTTACCTGGTGTTAAAAGATCTCAAAACCGCAAGAAACTCCAGAAAATTTCAGGTTTTGTCCATATTACCGAATGTTTACTTTTGGTTCAGCAGATATCGTAGCTCCGATTACCCAAATTCCAAGGAGAGCTGAGTTTGATCAAACAAATCGCGGTTAAAAACGGTTATAAGGTACATATTATAGACTCCATTTTTTTCCAAAAAACTACAAAAGCAAGCCATGGAACTGGTATACCTAAATTCAAGAGGTGATAATGTCAGTTATAGGACATTGTCATATTTGGGTGAACCAACCAATAATATTTCCCGTTTTTTGAAGAAAGAATGCGTAAACGTAGCTTACGAAACACGTGTTGAGTTTTTGTAAAATTGTTTAGTGAAAATCTCACAATAAAGTGGTTTTTGAATGCTGTTGTATTTTATTAAATCAATATATTTTATCATTTGAAGATCCAGCAACAACGGAGAAGAAATTTATTTGCAAAGAAATCTTTTGGTGGGATGGTTTGGAAATAATACCACCTCGCCCAAAACTAGGTCTACTGAGTAGTTTTGCGAACAGAGTGGAAGAAGATATCACTGAAGAAGACAGTTCCGACGAAGTTTCAGAGGAGGAATTCTCTTCTCTATCTTCATCAGATAGTGAAGAAGGAAGTGTTGAATGCAATCCACCTCGAAATGAAGTGAGTGTTACGATTTTTGTTGCAGGGTTAACTCTCATTTGGTTTTAGGTAGTGAGGAAGAAAAAGAAACGAAACACCGAATCAAAAATGTGGCAACATAATTTATCTGCTAGAAGTAATCAGGACGTTCAGAGGGCCTATGAAGAAAATGCAGTTAAACAAATGACTGCTATTTTGAATAGGAATGTAATAAACGAAAACGTTGGTAGAAGTGGTAAAAGTACAATGAGAAATGCCATACCACTAGGTACGTTTGCATACCATGAAGAACTAATTATGTTTATCTAGAGAAATGGGCAGAAAATACGTAGTTATCTTATAAGTAGTAATAAGTAGTTATCTTGCTTCTTGGTATTTTTGAAAGTTAGCCTTGATTAGCTAGTTGATCCATTATACTATGGTATTAGACCATTAGAACATGTCAAAAAAACGGTTTTTAAATTCTTTCATATCGTTGCCCAAAATGCTAAATAAGTACTACAGCCAAAAACAAAGCATAGATAGCGTTAGTGTTACAAAGGGCCCCCATTTTTCTTAAGGCAATATACTCTATAGTAGTTGTATCTGTGATTGATTCTTTCAAGGAAGGTGTGTACTTTATTTCACATCACATTTTGCTTATTAATATTTATCAGATTTTTGTTTCACATTACATTTTGCTTATGAATAGTTACTGTTTTTTTTCCTCAAGCTGACTGGGTGTAATTAAATGTTGAAAAAATATCAAAAAAACGTTCTGATCGTTTCTAAGCAATGAAAACCTATTATACAAGTCACTATAAAAAAAGGCAGCCGCCCAAAATTGCCCCATTATACACAAAAATACTGTTGTGATCTGCAATTTCTGATGTAACTATACCGGGTGTCAACGAATCTATTAGACAAGTCATAGACATTCTAGACTATTAGGTGTATCAAAACGAGATTTGGTACAGATAAATGGTATGTGGAGAGGAGAGTTTTCACATATTTTTCACTTTCCGGTCACTTCCGGTTTCAGCGGAAATGGCTCCGGTTCTGAATTTTTAAATGGAACACCCTGTATATTGTAACATTTTTGGATTTCTGAGACAATTCTGGATCAGAAACTGACATTTCCGGAAGTTTTTCAGCCTACTTGATTTTTTCAGAGTCACTTTTAAAATTGCATCTAGGTGGCCATGATCGGACGTAAACTAATCTATGGACCTCAGGTGATATCAGAAAATTGCAATAGCGGAGTTTTANTATTTTGTAAACTTGTCTCATTCATATTCAACACACTAGTCACTAAAACTCCGCTATTGCAATTTTCTGATATCACCTGAGGTCCATAGATTAGTTTACGTCCGATCATGGCCACCTAGATGCAATTTTAAAAGTGACTCTGAAAAAATCAAGTAGGCTGAAAAACTTCCGGAAATGTCAGTTTCTGATCCAGAATTGTCTCAGAAATCCAAAAATGTTACAATATACAGGGTGTTCCATTTAAAAAGTCAGAACCGGAGCCATTTCCGCTGAAACCGGAAGTGACCGGAAAGTGAAAAATATGTGAAAACATTCCTCTCTACATTCCATTCAACTATACCAAATCTCATTTCAATTCTCCTAATAGTCTAGAAATTATGACTTGTCTAATAGATTCGTTGACACCCGGTATATAGTTATGTGCGTGTTTCTTTTTCATTTTTTTTCTGGCGTTATTTCAAGCGCTATTAGAAAACAAAAAACACTTTCTTCTAGCTACTTTTTTCGTCCTACAACATTTTTCACCACCCATTATTTAAAAATAGTTTTTGGTCAAAAATAACGATTTTAATTGTTTTCTTATTCAAACAGTTTGTCATGTGAAAGCAACATTCGCCGAGTAGCTGAATAAAATGAAAGGAGGCTTGAACTAAACGTCATTTCTCACTGAAACTTTTCATTTCTATATCCAAAAGAGCGTGACTTTTATAAAATTTCTGGTTTTATTATTTCAGAACAAAAACTATGTTAAATCATTAGACATTCCGTTATAATAAATATTCACTGGAAAAACAATTAAGCAAACTAGAAACAAGTAATGAACATATAGAAGTCAGGCCTCAGGGTCGAACTTTTTTAATGTATGTAGGAATTTGGCGCAACAACTTTATTGGTCCTGTAATAAACGAGGGGAGTTTAACTTGTGAAAGATATATAGCTTTAGTATTCTTGCAAATCATGCCCTAAGGAAAATAACGCCAGCCGCCACAAAATCATTTGTACTTAGCTAAGAGCGCCCGAATGTTCTACGTTCGCTGCCGTATAATGTGGCAGAATAATGCTACCGGCTTTGATGGAATTCAGAGGAATATTCCAGCATCTTTGATTGTCAAATATAAGCGCCATCCACTCGCCTATCGGGACAGTCAAGTGAAAGTTACAGTACGGTATGCGGAGCGATCTAGTAAGGCGATAGATATTGGAATAATAGTTGAAGTGTTTGTTGTATTTAAAGTGAAATAAAGTTAAGTTTGATTATTGTTCAGTGTACTCAATTATTGGTAAACTGGCGGGGAAAAATGTAACATTTGGTGCCGGAAATGAAATAATCGACTGAAAACTTTCTATTTTATGGTGAAAACATGTCGATTACGACGAGATGGAAAAACTTGAGAAAATATTCGAGACCTTGCAACCCTGTGGCCTGACTTCTACATGTTGTCTTGGGTTTTCTACCGCCCAATAGTGCTTATTGTGTCTATTGAAAATACCATAAGTAGAAAAACTGCATTCATTGGTCCATATTACTTCAACTATTAACTGATCATCTTCAGCAATTTTAATAGAAAGCTAATGACAAAATTCCAGTCACTAATATCATCACTCGGTCAAAGTCCGCCATATTCTCATTCTGAGCAGTTGCTAAATATTCAGAATATCAGATTTTAAAACACATTTTGAAGAGTGGCAAATTACATTACTTTGCCTTAATTTAACCGACCCTATATATCTTACGGTTTTGAAGATTCCAATGGTCACCTTCAAATTTGGGACATCCTGTACAAGTCTATGTATTATTTTCCCCAATGTCTCCTACAGTGCACATGGTGCTCAGTCACCTTATAGAAGTCAAACAAACACTATTCCTGCCATAGATAAACTATCAACAGATTAGTAAAGCATCTTTCATCTTTGGAATTGTTATCAAATGATGATATTGCTTATAGCAATAGTGAAGAATGAATGCTTTTATATCTTTCCTCCATATTTTACCCCATAATTCAAATAAATTTCATATATTTTGCTGTTACAAGTATACAATAATTTTGGCCAGATTTTTGGACTAAGTACTCCAGTGAGCAGTCTTTGATTTTTGACATAATAATACAATTTAAATAGTGAAAAGAGTCCAATTCCTAATAACCTGCTCTTTCATCTCTAGGTTTAATGTTTAAGCAGTTGTTTATTACTATAGAATACCAAGATAGTCACATTGTTATATTCGATAAAAAATTATATAAAAATTGGATTTTTTCAACTCATTGTTTTGACAAGTCATGTTATGTATAGCTTGTCAAATGTAGGGACTCACTAAATTTCAATATATTCCTGCTTAGTAGATGCGCATTAAAAGATGTAATGAATAGGGAACGCATAGATTGCGAGAATCTAGTCTCATCCTAAATTTGACAAGCTGTATTTCATTTCAATAATAACTACTGTCAAACAGTATTAATTAGTGTATTGGTTATTACTACTGATAACCAATATTGGTAATTCTGGTGTTAGTAAAACTAGCAAAACGCAGATTTGGTAAGGTAATGAAATTTCCATCAGAGGCATATCAATTTTGAATACTGTTTCTGGTATAACTTATATTTATTATAAATGTATATGAAAAGATAAAAAATTTTTTTTTTTTCAGGAGGTATTTGGGTTCGTCTCGAAACAGACTGGCGAGAAAGTCAAAACTCTTTACAACCAAAAACAAAAAATGTCTTCACTGCTGGAAAATACAACAAATTCAAAGGAAAATGAAATTTTTCTACCAAGTAGTAACTTTGTAACTGATTCAATTAAAACGCATACAATCCAGATTGAGGTTTACTTTTATTGTAATAATCAAACGGGAAATACAACAATTACATCTTAGAATTGCTTCAACTCATAAATAAAAATATCGATATAAAAATGTATGGTGTTGGAACAGTTCTTTTTTGTGTTGGAACAGTTTTCTCTAATGCTATTTTTTTCTTCCAAACGAAGCATGCTCTGAAAATTAATACAAGTATCGTAGATATAAAAAATTTAAGATGATTCTGCTAATTTTTCGGCTTTTTGGACTACTTCCTCAATTGGCCCGACCATGTAAAATGCTACTTCTGGCAAATGATCATAGTCACCTGCAAGGATTTTCTGGAATCCCTGTGAAGAAAAGAAAAAATCATAGCATCAAACATTTCTTCTCAATTTCACTGACTTACTTTGATTGTTTCTTCAAGAGGTACAAGTTTTCCAGCATGACCAGTGAAAACCTCGGCTACTTGGAAAGGTTGTGACAAGAAACGTTGGATTTTACGAGCACGAGCAACAGTTAGTTTGTCATCTTCAGACAATTCATCCATACCCAAAATGGCAATGATATCCTACAGCAAAAGTGGTAAGGTTACATAAATTAAAATAATAATGTTACACTAAGTAAATGAAACCAAATACCGTTCTTCAAATCATTAGACATTCTATTCCCTAATAAAAAATAAACAAACACTCACTTGTAGAGATTTGTAATCTTGAAGGATCTTTTGTACATCACGAGCTACTTTGTAATGTTCTGCTCCAATGATATTGGGATCCATGATACGTGAGGTGGAATCCAATGGATCGACAGCGGGGTAGATACCTAATTCTGCAATAGCACGTGACAATACAGTGGTAGCGTCCAAGTGAGCAAAAGTAGTAGCAGGAGCAGGATCTGTTAAATCATCAGCTGGTACATAGATAGCCTGTACAGAAGTAATGGACCCCTTTTTGGTGGTGGTGATTCTTTCCTGCATGCTACCCATATCGGTGGCCAGAGTTGGTTGATAACCTACAGCGGAGGGAATACGACCCAACAGAGCAGATACTTCTGAACCAGCTTGAGTAAATCTGTAATAAAAAAAATCATTGAGTGAATTTTTAGCGACAACTTTGTGAACTGACACTGATAAAAATGGAAATTCTGATATTTCAAAGATCATAACTAAAATCCATTTTTGTCACATTGTCTTTATTTTCTTGTCAAAATTAGGCATATTGAAACAAAAAAATTGTTCAAACAAACCTGAAAATATTGTCGATGAAAAGCAATACATCTTGTCCCTCTTGATCACGGAAATATTCAGCAACAGTAAGTCCAGTCAAAGCTACACGGGCACGTGCGCCTGGTGGTTCATTCATCTGTCCATAGACCAGAGCTACCTTGGAAGTCTTGTCTTTGAGAGAGATTACTCCAGACTCTATCATTTCATGGTACAAGTCGTTTCCTTGAATATACATATATAGTAAAAGTTTAATTGGAAAATATTGAGCATCGCTGATTAACCCATTCACTGCTCATGATATCTGAAGGCTTCATCAGTACAGTGCGCATGACATCTTCAAACGTCATTCGCATAGCCTTGTTACAAATGTTCAGTTGTTATTTAGAATTGCATTTATTTGTTTTGAACACCTCAGTCTAGTATTGAATATTGTGTTTATTAGGCGAGCACTGTTTAAAAAAATGGGTGACGCCGTTTCTGGGCAGTCAACGAAAGACAACTCAGGGACGGGTAATAAACATAAATTTCAGCGTTTCTATACACAAGAGGAACTTGAATACCTATTTATTATGAATTAAGTGATATAAATTAGCTCTGAATCTTGAACGAAAACAGATGGCAAGAATTTCTACAGAAACCCCTTCCTATTCTTCATAATAAGAATATTGGCAGCATACATAAAACGGACCAAATGTTATCATACTATCCAGTTGAAAGATCAATTCATACTATCCACTTAAAAAAAATAGTGGAAACTCGTGCATTCCTCTTTATGATTTCTGCCTTCATATTATAAGTTGAACAACAAGGATAGGTCTATAGTCTATAGCCTGATCAACAGGCAAATGCTAAATATGTTTTGGAAAAGAACACTTTCACCAGAGCAAGAAAAGTTTCATACAGAGCTGTGTTCGTCAAACAGAAAGAACAAAGAGGACCGCATATTGTGCAACATGTCCTTTGGAACTTGTTCTATGTGCGACTGTTATCCATTTTTTTAGAGTATCCATATGATTGTATAACTCATGTAGTGTCTATAATTATCATTATTTTAATGTTAGTGAGAAATAAAATGTTTCAATCAAATGAAGCCCAAGAACGTCATGAGCATCCAAGTGTAACTTTCTATACCTAGTGCGAATGATGCCTTCAAACGTCATGTTAAAAAAAATTCATATTTTTTTTTCACCAAAGTATGCCAAAATGCATCAGCAGTGAATGAGTATCATTTTGAATAGCTTTATAATTTTTTTTTCAATATTTCTGTCATGTATGAAAAGGTGAAATACCACTACTTGAATCTAAAGAAAACACCATTTCTGAGAATTTAGTGCCTAGTATTATGGAATTGTACTATAGAACAAATACATTGTTCACAAGCGTCAAGTGTATTATTTGTAATGACATGTGAAGTGTTTTTTTTAGATTAATTTTATGCCAGAGATTTCAATTCTAGCTATAAAACCACAATTAGAATCTATTGGACTGTTCATTTTTTGTATTTTTGAGGCTACTATGAAAACTTTCCATAACACATCTTGTCTAAATACTTCTTTACCTAAGTTGAATAATTCAAATACTGGCTATTATTTTAATTATAAAATATGTCCGGTGAATGAAAATAATTACCTTCACGGGTTCTTTCGCCTACTCCTGCAAATACAGAGTAACCACCATGGGCTTTGGCAACGTTGTTGATCAGTTCCATAATGAGTACAGTCTTGCCTACACCAGCACCACCAAACAGACCAATCTTTCCTCCTTTGGCATATGGAGCCAAAAGATCCACAACCTACGAACCAAATCAATGCATTTTTAAGTGTCACTTGAAATTTCCAATATGAATGGAAATCATAAACCAATAAACTACCAGGCAAAAATAACTTTGATAATTGCTTTTCCTAATGGCACTGTAAGTTTTCATTCATAAAACAATCTTTAAAATCCATGTCCATCTCATTGATATTATTAGTTCATTCCAAGTATGTAAAAATTAGCTACTTCTTACCTTGATTCCTGTTACTAGAATTTCTTGTTCAACACTCATATCAACAAACTCTGGAGCTTCAGCGTGAATGGAAGCCAATTTATCAGTGGGAATTGGACCTCTCTCATCAATGGGTTCCCCAATTACATTCATGATTCTTCCTAATGTTTCTACACCTACAGGAATTCGGATAGGGTAGCCTGTATCATTCACTTGCTGTCCACGAACAATACCCTCGGTACCATCCATAGCAATGGTACGTACTGTATTTTCTCCCAAATGTTGGGCAACCTGTAAATTTAAAATAATTTTGGTCATTTATCATGTATCAAAAATGATCAGAAATGGTTTGGTGGCTATACTTGTCTGTCTAAAACATAAGTAGGGCTAGAATGGGAAAATTGGAGACCATGCGGGTTAAATTAGGAAAAAGTTGCTGGTTTTAGAGTTTATTTAAATGATGTTTTCAAATTCAGAAAATACCAATTAGTTTTGGCGATATAAAAAAAAAATCACCAATTTAGTTCCAAATTTTTTTCTGTTGTTGATTAGGGAGATATTAAAAACAAACACTCGTCGCCACTTTTCAGGCTGAACAGGTTCAAAGATTTTTAATCAGAGTTTTGTGTTCAAGAAACCATAACCAATTTAACTTTTTTACATGGACTATAAAAAAAATCAACCATAGCCCTTTTGAGCTATGAGTGGTAGTACGCATAATAAGAATTCCCAGAAGTTTAAAATATTACTTATCAAGCTCCAAAGTGGGCAACTTTTTCCTAATTCAACCAACTTTGTATCTTTTATGGTGTCTGATTTTCCCGTGCTGTCTCTCCTTATTTTGGAAACACTGTATATGGATAACAGTTTTCTGAAAACTGGCGAATTCTACACATTAAAGATATATTCCAAAATTGAACAATGGTTGTCCAGGGTTCTTACTATGGGGAAGGGGAGAAATAAGCATCTCCAAGAAAAGCATAAACCGGCTGATTCTATCACATGAACACATAAATAAACCTTTGATTATTTGAATACAACAAAATGGCTGTCGCTGGCTTATTATTTTTAGGAAACATAACATGATGCAGTCAGTAATGTGAAATTGTGTTCAATATTGAAAAACAGTTCTGAAATGAGACTTTAGAGGGATGGATATCATGAATTTTTCGGGAAATATTTCCGAAAACTCAAAACTATGGAGGCAATAACTTTAAAATTATTTGGTGGCATCAGTAACGGAAAAAAATATGAAAAAATTCAAATAGCTCAACTTTTCCATTACATAGGTGAGGAAGGTTTTGTTATTTACAACACATTCACTTTTAAAAACAACACTGAAAAAAATAAAATAAAAACCGTAGCGGAAATGTTCGAGAAACACTTTTTGCTGAAAAAAAATCTGTTCAATGAATGTTATGAATTTTCAACACACAAGCAAATGTCTAACAAAACAATGGAACAATTTGACGGATTTCAAAACTAAAGCAAAGTCGTGCAAATTTGGTGACTCAAAGGAAAGCCTTATAAAAACATTTTACACCTGTGGACTACAAAAACAAGGTCTTGCAAAAAATTACTTCGAGATGATGAGACGGATTTAGAAAAAACTGTAAAGTTTTGTATAGCATTCAAGAATTCGAAACGACAGTCTAAAATCCATCCCACAAGCTTTCTGTTCAACAAATTCTATGGAAGTGCAGTCAAAGGATAACAAGTGAGCCGACAAATCAATAAACAAAACGGGCCATATCTGGAAAAGAAATTTTGCCATCATAGTGAAGTGTTCATAGGAAAAACTAGTAAGCAGCATATAACAAAAGTGTAACGAGTCCGTCTACTTGAACCATTTCGCAAAAATGTGCTTGCAAAAAATTGTTGATGTGGTTGAAAGGGACTACAATGAAGGTAGTGATAATGAAAATTATCTAATCATAGGGGGTGTAGATTCTGAAACGGACGAACGTAATGATTCATGGTTCGCATCCCTCTCAATGAATGATGTATTAACAAAATTCAAACTAGATACTGGAACCCAAGCCAATTTCATATCAGTTGATAAATTGGAAACCATAAATTCCGACCCTGAATTGATAATAATGTATGACATTGATTTGAAATCATATACAAATGATAATTTACCTATTCTTGGAAAATGTTTTTTTGAATTGCCGATACAAAAAAAAGGGATATAGATTGTGATTTTTTTGTATTTGAATCGAGTTATCAATGCATTCTTGGTTTTGAAACGTGTGAGAATGAATTTTTTGAAACGGATTGATGTTGTTGATAGGCATGATCTAAGATATGAGCCAAACAAATATATAAAGTTTTAAAAAAATTATGAAGATAAATTCACGGGTTTGGGTTGCCTGTTACGATTAGTTGTAAATAGTTGAACGCTAATTATTAAATTAGGGCAACTCTATTTGTGAAACACCCGATATATAGTTCCAGCCGACTCGATAAGTTTTTTTTGAAAAAAAAAAGGAACGTTTTTTTCTTTCGTTCGTCCGCTCTAGGGAATTCGTGAGTGAAACTGAAGGATAACGTTCGGAAGATTTGATTTCAGGCAAATTCTGGTTTTCGAATATAAAATTACGTCTTTTGACGGATATAAACCTGCCGTGCCTTGTTGTGATATTGTGATTGGGTAATTCTGCTGTGGAGCGATCTTGCAATATCCTTATTATCGATTGGTATGAATTTTATCGAATGAATTATTTCTTCCGGACCGTTTAAAAACATCTCCGGCAATGTTAGGGCAGTCGAGCATTGGGAGGTAAGCGTATAGTTTTGTCATTCATTATTTTATTTTAGCACGGATGTATCGCGAAATCAATTATTTACGAGAATACCTTTTTTTTAGATGTTTTTCTCTGATATGGTAAATCGAAATTTCGCCCGGACGGTGCTACCTTTGAGAACACGTCGAAGTGGATGGGGTCAGACCTTTTTGAACTTTATTGCCTTGTACGTAGCGACTAAACCACAAATTTTCCGAAGTCATATGGATGGTGGTGTTCCTATTTCGACCGTGTGGACGTGGAATTAAGAGCTTTTCACGAATTTGCGTATTAGCGGGCCATAGGAATCTACACATCACTAGCAGCTAGATAAGTACCGATTAGAAGTTTTATTAATGGTGTTGTTTTTGCGGTATTCTGACATTATTGTTTACGAAAGCAATGAACCTCTCTGAATAGGTGTTTCCGAATAGTTTTGTCTTCGCCTTTGTATAAGCGTTTAGTTTGTAGTATAAGTGAAGAATAAATCCGTTGAACAGGCGTATTTTGGGGAAGCAACATTCAACGTTTTTATTCTTGTTCCTTTGTCGTATTCCACCTTATTGTTTTCGCGTATCTGGATTGTTTAGTAGTTTCATTTCAGGTTTAGGCTAGTCGGTGCACAAGAAACTACTTGGCGCCCTTGTTATCAATTTTTTTTGTACATATTTATACTTTTCTGTCTGATTTAACCCACGGCCCTTACGAGCAAGCACATTACTTGCCGTACACAAAAAAAAAGGACAGAAGTGTTATTCCTAATGTTTTAAAAATAAATGTCTTTGATAGATAATTTTTTTTATTATTGAATTTAATGTAATATGTCTTAACAAAATATCACATTGCATTGAATGAAAATGTGATACCTGTCGTTCATCCTCCCAGAAAAATTCAAATTCTTGTCCTTAAAAAATGTTGGGAAACCTTAGTCAATTTAGGAAAACGAAAGATTATTAGGAAAATTGATGGTCCTACAGAGTGGGTCAATTTAGTGGTTATAAAAATAATGGTTTGTTACGTATCTGCTTAGATCTAAGTCTCAAAAATGTTTGGCTCTTGCATTTTCAGTACATTAGATGCCAATAGTGGCTTTTGGTAAATACAGCTGGATGAAGCAAGTGCAAAACTCTGTATCTTCAGTAAAGGATTTGGTAAATTTTGTTTTTGAGACTTCCTTATGGAATTTGATCAGCTCAAGAAGTGTTTCATGAAAGTTCTAAAATTATTTTCAATCACGATGGTGTCAATATATATGTAGATGATATAATTGTTCGAGAAAATAGCCAGGATGGAAATGATGAAAGGGTAAGAAAAGTTTTTTAAATGGCTCGAAAAAAAAAAAGATGCTACTTTCAATAGAAAAAATGTAGATTTGAAGTGTTTTGATTGCACAGATGTAGCTGTGAGAGACTTGCCCATACTAAAACAAAGGTTATCAAAGATTTTTGGGAATGATTACGTAAGTCGGTAGATTCATTCCAACTTTATCTGATGAAAATTATTCACTTCGTGAAGTCCTTAAAAAGGATGTAATATTTCAATGGTCTGACAGACATACAAAATCATTTAATGAATTTAAAAAAATATCAGTTGATTTGCTAGTGTTAGAATTTCATGATGTAAAAAAACTAGTAATAATATCGGTTGACGCTTCAAAAGATGGAGTGGGAGTCTGCCTTTTGCAAAATAATCTGCCATACTCACGCTTCAAAAGCGCTTACGGAAACAGAAAAGACGGGCCCAAAAAGGAAAAACTTCAAAATGATTCTTATTGTTCAAGGGTCAACAATTGATTATACCTACTGATATGAGACATTGAAAAAGTTCACTTTGGATACTTTGGCATGCAGAAATGTGAAAGTCGTGCAAAATATTGTTTTCAATGGCCAGGCATGTGCAAAATAATGAAAGATGTTATTTTGAATTGTAGAATTTGTTTGAAATATAGATGTAATCAACAGAAAGTGATATACTGTTGTGATATATTGTATTTAGGAGAAACTATGTATCTTCTCATAAATGATTATTATACTATATGGGTGATATTGTTGGTAGAATAATGCTCTATCGCAAACAGTAAATAATCAAACATCTGAAATCAATATTCAGTCTATATTTTCTTAATGAGTGATCAAAGGTCTGTCTATTCACATTATATAGTGCAGCTTTGAAATGTAATTATAATTTGAGGGTAATGAAATCCAAATCATTCAACTTTTATCATATCATTCTTTTGACGCCTGTTCACCCATTTCTTCATTAAAGTTGAAATGTTGCAAACAGTGCAATAAGGTAGGTATTTTATCATGAATATAAAACTTTGACTCTGGTATCATCTAGTTACTGGCTTGTAATGAGAGCTGCAGGAATATAGAAAGGGATTTCTATGCCAATGGTGCTTCCTTGCCCAAAAAATGTTTTTCTTTCGTTATAAATATCTTGTGAATGTGAAATATTTTCAATTTATTATTTCTTAATATTATTTGAGGATAATATTTTATAGATATTATTTTCTATTCAGAAATGTGAAATTACATCAATTGTTAAATCTGTTAACCCTTCGGTAGTTGTGCTTGGTCTGTCAGACTGCGTTGGCACTATATTTATGATTTTATGAAAAACTTGGGAGGGAATTAGGTTCGTAAGGTTAGTACCTTCTTGACTATTTATTTTTTTTTATAATACAGGGTCAGTTTTACCAGTGATGTGTTTGTATTCTAGTAACTCAGGCCAAAACTGGTCTCTGAGATCGGGGTGACAATTGGTGTATATATTTTTTTCTTAAGACATTATACAAGTCTCCAAAGGTTTTTTTGAAAGAAACTGACCTTTATTCCTCAAACATTCAATAAAATGACGTATTGCGTATAAAATACACAGATGTGTTGATCTTTGGTGTTTTACCTTAATTGTTATTCATATATGTAATTTTGTTAATTATAAGTGTATTTTATGGGAAATAAATATCTATTATTACTAGTACTTGAAATTCATTTGATATATAAGTTATTATCAGAAAATAAAAAGGTTGAGAATTTCACTAGGAGTTATAATCAAGTAAAAGAAGTGATCTACTCTGAATCTCCTAATTTTGTATAGATTGATAAATCTGGTAATTAATTTAAAAACAAATGGACATATTGGATATAGAAGAATTGAAAAATAAAAATTAGTAAAATGTAGTTATTTAAAAATTCTGCTCTGAAAATGATCAATAAAATCTAGAACTACGTTTTTTATAAAGCAATAATACAGTGAATTTGGTTCAATATATTTTGAAAATTTTTTTCAACGCAGTTTCAATCCCAAAATTCAAAATACTACCACTTTAGATATTTGTGCATTCATTTATATTAAAATTGAGCATTTTCAACAACAGAATCTTGCTTTGAAGAATTAATGAACATATAATATTATTGAACTCCTGTCTACACATATTTTTATGAAATAATACTTATACTTTGTTCTTGGGTCAACATAATTTTGTTGTTTTTTTAAATTCTATCATCTTTCAAAGAAGTTCTTGGCTAGCAAAAATAATTAATTCTCTTAATTCTATACTTTTCACTTTGTAACATAAAGATTGACTCATGATTTACCTAAAAACTGTCAACTTGATTGGAAACTATTATATAATTCTAATTATGTAATGCCCAAAAGTATAAATTATTTAGTTTTAACAAACACTGAAAAGATTCAAATGAAGAATGATTAATTGCATGTTTCTTTTTTTGAGGAATTATAAGAAAAACAATTTTTCCAGAAAGAATCATTTTTAGAAAAAATAAAACTCTTCTCACCTTCTATCATGTGACATACAAAATTTCCAATACATATGTATATATAAAAATAATAACAATAATTTAATTTGCACTGAAATAGTTAAATACAGATTGTGACATATTTATATACACTCTAAAAACATATACACATGAATAGTTTCTTATAAAAGGAACATCCACAAAAACAAAAGGCTGTCCCTGGTGGATAATTGAAAAAAAAAGGTTTTTCTAAGTTCTCAGATTCTTCTCTTATATACATACTTCAATGAGAAAGTAAAATATCATTTCCATCAAAATAACGGTTTCAGTGACAGGCTAACTTTCAGTCCACAAAAGAGATTGATTCTTCAAAAGCTATAGAAACCTATGTTAGTAGATTTGCAAGTTATGGTCCGCAATTAACTCTTTATATAATCCAACAAAATAAATATTAATTTGTGGAACTATCACCCCGTGACTGCAATTTGCCAAAATGCAAGTCAAAAAAAGTATTTTCAGTTATGTGTAGAGAAAAGTATTTTTCACTTTAGTTTTACATCATACAATCCAGTTCACTCATTGAAAGTGTTTATGTATGGTGTTTTTTTTATATTTGCTCACCTCCAACACAAGTCTAGGAGTTCGATTTTGTACTTCCAATGCATTGAGAATGGGTGGTAATTCTTCGTCGAACTGGACGTCCACTACGGCACCAATAACGGCAACAACTTTACCAGCACTTTTACCGGAGGCTGCGGCCTTAGCAGCATAATTCCTGCCTGTAAAGAACATATAATCATTCGAATTCGAGTTATAAAATATTTACGTAAGTTTCCAAAATGGCGAATCAATGTGAGGTAGTTATTACATAACCATCAGAAAATACATGAATATGGCTAAAAACAATATAATAAATTGATTTCGAATATTGTAAACATTTTCATGTGGTAAAAAAACCTATATTTCAGATAGTTGTTTCCTAGAAATTAGAAATGATTGCCTAACAGTGCATATAAAAGTAGGTATTATTTATAGGTTCAAATCCGTTTGTTCTTTAGAATATTGTAGTTTGTAATACTTACTGGAAACATTGTATGATGACACTATTTTAAGAGAGTCTGCTCCAATCTTTTCGATAGTTTTTCCAGCCAAAAGGCTAGAACTTGCCCTTGCCACAGCACCCAACATGGTCGATTTTGAACAGAAAAGTCGACTGCTGACTGCTGAAATCTTTGACGTTTGAACTTCTTTCCGCTAGAGATTTTTCTCATGCGCAATGTGTATTTGCGTGAACAGTGCGTTCAGTATACAATATTTTTTGGTAAATGAATTTGACGGTAAAAAAATTCAATAAACGAGTTTTCATATTACAATACATAGTTTTTGAAAAAGGCCTACTTCACATTTTCATTTCGATTTTACTTGTTTTTGTACACTTGGGACAAAAAAATTAAGTTCTCGCGGCATGGAACCAGCAAAGGATGGGTTAAGAGGGCGGATTATATTACTCAACGTCAATAATTGTGACGTCAATTAGAAACCTTCACTTGAAACGCCAACGCTTTTGAAAGAAGCAAAATATATTTCAGAATAGTGAAATGAAGTAGTGAAACCTGAGTCCTTGATAATCCTCTATGAGGATAGTTCTATTCAACAGTGATCTGAATGTTTCACCTGACTGGCTGCATGTGTAGATATTCAAAATTTCCTTAACATTTTATATAGGAAAAAAATTTGCCCATTTTAGAGCTCATTTGAATACCTTTTTGAAATGTCTAAAATTTCGATTAGTTTCGAAGTCATTCGAAATGAAACAAAATTTATCAATTTCATTTTAATATTTCTCTGAAGTAATCGAAAAAACGTTATAAAACTTTTTCTTGTTGCCACTTTTCAGACTGTACAAGATGGCAATCATAGAATTTTGATCCGAATCAGCCGGTATAAGTTAGTTAGCAACTACAGTGATGTAACACACGGGCTGAGAAGTCCCTGACCTAATAAAAGAAACGCGTTTTTTTTTTGTTTAAAATTGACTCCATTTATCAATGTAATCTCCATCAAGAACCACACAATGATTCCAGCGCCGCTCTAATGTTTCAATACTACTTTTGTAGAACGATTTATCTTTTGCCTCAAAATAGGCCTATTTTAGCAATAACATCTACATTCGAACGAAGTTTCTTAACGGTTTTGCCATTGTTTTGATTGGCTTGTGTCACAGTGCATAGTCTTGATTTAAGAATTTTTGGACGAGATTCATCGGTTGCTCTCCACTCAGATGACGATTGTTTTGATTCCGGAATGAAGTGATGGATCCATGTTTCATCCATTGTCACATATCGACGCAAAAATTCCGATATGTTATGTTTCAAATACTGCTCATAATCATCAAGACGTTCTTGTTTTTGATCAACAGTGAGCTTGCGTGGCACCCACTCTGAACAAAGATTTCTCATAGTCAAATGATCATTTAATATAAAGCCAAAACAATCTTTTGATATCTTTACAATGTCAGCTAACTCACGTAACTTCACTTCACTTTTGTGTTTTTTTTTTCTGATGTGACTGCTTCATTTGGTCGTCCACTGCGTTCTGCATCATCGGTGTCTCTACGACCAGTCAGCAAACCAACGTTTAATTGTTGCCCTACGCAATTATTCCCTTTTTCAGTGGTAAAAGACGAAACAGATTTACGAAAAATATTTTTTGTTGACATCAAAAAAGTTAGGTAATTTCGCAGAAATATCTGCTACCTTCCTCGGTAGAATGATTGCTATAATATCACATATCACATTGTTATGACAATGTGATATGTGATATTGCGCAATTATCGACTGCAAAATTTTGTTGGTTGTTACCCCCAATCAGAAAAGAACGATGGGTTACTATGAAATTCAGATCCTCATGGCGTTAATGGATTACTGGTAGCAAAAGTGTCTAAAGTTGCAACCTGAATTCGTTGAAGTATGAAAATTTTATTTTATGATTTTTTAGGAAATAACAACATTCATTGCCAGGCACGGTTTGTGGTTACCACGATGCCGGGGTCTGGCAATGGATGACGTGATTTGTAGTATCTCGAAAAAATCATAAGAAAATTGCGCTTCACACTCTGACAATTTTGTCGTATCATGCAAATCAAACTCTGTGATCCTTTATTCTGGTTTATTTGCCTATTAAATGCCTACAAGAAAGTATGTCGACATGACATACTTTCTGCCTCAAACCCATCGACATACCCTTCCCTTAAACCTAGACTGCTAGTGATATGGTCATATTCCTAATACTGGAAAAATTTATCCAAATTGAAGTTATGAAAACGTGTCCGCGCAACGCGCAGAAGGCTCAAAGACTGTCATTTCAGACGTTGACACAAGACCCGAGAATACCTACCACAGAGAAGCGACATTAACATCGGATCCTTTGATATTCGGTGTCCCAACTCCGAACCGAAGATTTTGAGTGATAAACAACCTGGTTCACTGAGAAAAATGACCTCTCAGCGATATACACTAATAAAAATACATACTCTTACGTTCTAGTATAGTACGTGGGCTCACTGTGAAATATAAAATTATAGTGTGAAGGGAATCTTACTCCATTCAATATATATTGCTAATTGAACAACTTTCGCAGTAATAATAAGGAATATTCGACTATGTTGCCAATTTATTATTATTTATGATGAATTGGCTTTTGAGAAATAAATTAAATTACTTTATTTTGTAAATCCAATTCATTAGATAGAAAATTAAAATAAAGTTACGATAATAGAATAATGCTTATATTATATAATCATTTTATATCCTCTGAAATAAATAAGTCCACTAAGGATGAATAGAAGTGACTTTTGTTATTTTATGTAATCTNCTTGTTACACAAAAATCCCAAGGGGGAGTTCACCCGAGGGTGCTCTACCACTCAACCCTTGCTATTTTAAATAAGCATATTATAACTTGAAAACTAACCTAACTAATCCTAAAACCTAAATTTTTATTTCACAATTTTTTTGGCATTTGACATTTGACATTTGTCATTTGTTGGGTCACCTGAATATTCACCACCAATAACCAAGTGGAAAAAAAAAAGTTGTATGAGAGATAACGAAAAATGACTACTTGTGAAACACAGATTATAGAAAAAAAAGGGGGTATCGATGGCCGCTTCTCTGTGGTAGGTATTCTCGGACAAGGCTACGACCATTTTATTCATAGGCGTCGTCGACTTGTTATTTATTCTTGAAAAAGTGTGAAAATTGTGAATAATAACAGTACAATTTCCTGACAAAATTCCACTAAAATAAAAATAAGTGTAGTCTGGAGCACTTGCTTCTATATTTAATTGAACAAAATCGAATCCGTATTCAATTCTTTGAATCTATGTATACTAATGTATCACTATCATTTGTTTGCAATTATTTTAGTATTATTTCTACTGATATTACATCACGATTTAATTTTACTTATGTAAGTTGCTATTATGTAGGTACACCAATATTTGCTGGTTGGGTGAATTAAGATCAACATGTACAAATTGGATGCTTTACACCTTCTTGGATTAAGGCCGTAGCCAGGGGGGAAGCCGAGGGGGATTGATACCCCCGAAAATTCTACAACAACGGCCATCCAAAAATTATATCAAATACAACGATTGGCTTGTTTAAACATCACAGGAGCCATGAGAACATCAACCACGACAATGGAATTAATCACTAGTCTGTCCCCTCTGGACATACTGCGTTATTGGCCATGTTACGATTGCGCACGGCTTGTGTGAACCTCGAAGTAGGAATGGGGAATGGGTCAATTGAGGCTGAACCTATGGCGAGAAGCGCTCACTGCGCTGCATGCCACAAGTGATGCAATTGAATTTAGGTTTGTGTTTAATGAACTCTACAAAATACAAATAGAACAGAACACGAAGTCAGATACTACAAATACAATACGCATATATACAGACGGCTAAAAACCAAAGAAGGCTCAGGATGTGAAGTGTACTCTGGATCACTAAGCCTAAGGATTAAGTGGGGAATGGAAAAAAATACCAGGGTGGTTGAAACAGAACTGGCTGGTATCTTAATTGCCACAAAAACAATAAAAATCTGCACTGCTAGCAGACAAGCCCTATTAGCCTTGAACAGATAACGTGTTACCTCAGGGCTAGTACTAGAGTGTTACCAAGATTTAGCCAAAGCCTCGGTAGATAATGATATTATCCTGAGGTGGAGTGAAGGTATTCGCGACTGGACTAAGAATTTTAGGACCCAGTGGCACCTACGGCCTGATGAATTCGACAGTTGCGGAGCTAGCCAAACATTACACTCACGCTCAATCCCTAAAGAGATGGGATGAAATCAAAGGATGCCATTTTTCCAGGATAACCCCGGGCGACCCTGGGAAGCTGGCACCGAAGAAATATCTGGCGATGACCAGAAAAAGTTTGCGCTTAACAGTAGGATTTCTGACTGGCCACTGTCAACTAAGAAAACACCTCCACAATATATGGCTAGGGGACACATCTCTGTGCAGGATGTGTGAACAGGAAGATGAAACTGTCAGGCATATCCTATGCGAGTGCCTGGAGTTATCGTCAATAAGTTATAAAAACTCGCCTTTTTTATGCGATTCTGTCACAGATGAGTAAACTCTGTGGTTCTGTTAACTCTGTCATTAATTTTTTTCTTCTTCTTCTTCCTACTAAAGTTTTTGTTGGTTATCCTTTATTGGAAAACATTATATTGTTGTTATTATTATAACATATATATTTTTAAATCCATAAGTAATCCATCATATCATGATACACCTTTTTCGACATAATGTCGGAAAATATTGGTAACGATGAATTCGATGATGTATGTAAAATTGATTTTATATTACCAGTTATTATTTTACCAATGGTTGTTTTAGATTGACTGGGGAGATTGCTTCACTCCACCATTTAGTAGCACACAACAATTTCACTCTGGTAAACGACAAGCTGAAGACGTTGTAGAAACAGTTTCGAAGAAAAATGTCATACAATCAGAAACCAGGATTAGACCAATAGTTAAGGAATTTTGCGAGAAATCCCTTTCAAGACTTAAGGATGATCAGTGTGTAAATAAGGTAGCCAAAAGAATTTTTCCAGGTCCTGCTGGATTATTGCCCGATCGGTTAGAAACCAACAAATCAATATCAGAGTTAGTTTCAGAAGACCTTTCTGATGAAGGAGATAATGTTGAGTTGTTGAAATAACTTAGTGCTTCTGTATTGAAATGAGTTGATTTCAGGATATGTTGCTCTGTTCCCAACGGACAGTGTTTCAATTTGAGGAAGCACCTTGGAAGAAAATGGTTGAAGACTTTTCAGTTTCTAATGGCGAACAGTTATTTGAAAAGTTCAATATAAGTTGGATAAAGAAAAAATCTGCCTTGCAAAAAGTGGTAGTTAGTTACAGAACACCTTTCCTAGCATCAGTCATTCACAGTATTGAAGTAATGGAAGGCAAAATTCCAACAATAAATGTAACACTGAAAGATTCTTCAGGTATGTATTGTGCAAATTTGAAAGTATTGAAAATGTATTTTCCAACAATTTTTTCAAGGGGTCATCGGTGGCACAATTTCTCACAGTCTGTATGAAGAGTATGCTGCATATCTCACTGTTGGTTCAGTAGTTGTTTTGAAACAATTAGGAATTCTGAGTGTTGGAGATAGTTACTGTGTAACGTTAACTCCCACCAACTTACTTACTATTTATCATAAATTGTTTCCCAAGAAAACATCCAGTGACAATACTCAAACTGTTCAAACTATGGTTGAAAAAGTTGTTGTAAATCAAATGTGCGTAAAGGAAATTTGGAATATATATTATCAAGATATTAAGGAGAATTTGAAACAACAAAATAGACCAAATTTTACAAGAATTTATAAAAATAGTGAGAAAGTGGATGAAACAGACCTTGTTAATTTGAATAATGTCCCTGTTTCTCAACGGACTTTTATGAAGTTTGAGCCATCTAATTTAGGGCCTATTCAAATTGTTGAAAATATCTCCAATCATTTAATAGAGCCTAATTCTGCAACAACACTTCCTGGTAGGATTTCTTTTACATGTAACAATACACAAAAAATTGATTCAAAAAGTATTAGTGAAAAAACATCAGAAGTGGCAAATCCTGTGATCAAAAATACTGCAAATCCAGTAAAAAATGACAGTGATAATGTGATAATAAATTGTAGTCAGGTAATAGTGCAAACAGAGAAGAAACACACTGAGATTTGGAAAAATATTTTTGAGGAAGTTGATGCTGATTCTTTATTTGAAGATTTTTGATTATATTTTGTATTATTTTTTACTGTATTTTGTAAATAAATTGTTGATTTATTTTTGTAGACCAATGGTTATTTTTATCTGTTTTCTTTAGTAATAATGAGACATATTTTGGATGCAGTAGAAATGATTTTTGTGAAGAAAATGTTTTCAAAAGCAGGGTTTTATCGAGTACTGAACTGCTGTATTGAAACAAATAAAAAAGGTTATTGAAAATCCTTCATTGATTATAATTTAATATAGTACCTACATGTAAATTCATGGTTTTATCAAAATTTTGTATTTATTCATTAATTCCACAAAACTTGTAAGTATGTAAGAATCTATTAGCAATTTGTACTACAAATTCTCAGCAAAACTATAAATTGAATATAAATACAATATTAAATTATAACTATTGATCACAATATTCAGTAAGTAATGAAAATTTTCTATTNTAATAATAATAATGATAATAAAAATGTCTTTTATTTACCAAGGTAAAAAAGAAAGCACACAAAGGAAAATACTATGGGTTTGGTAAAATCCCGGAGCGGAATTCAGGGACAAGCGTGTGCAACATGCCGAATCCTGCTCTTCATTCAACTCCTTTACAATATACAAAACTTAAAGTATTCATCAAACATATAATGTACAAAAAATTATAGTACCTATATATTCTAATTCTCACAAGTGAAGCAATTTAGAAAAATATTTCTCATATATATGAGACACGCTACAAGAAAGGACACCAAAACATATCCAAGGCCCTTCAATTATAATGCTTGACATTCTTATTGATGTCTACCTGAAAATATAAAAAAAGTCATAACATTCATAAATTCAAGAAACTAATTAGGGCTGGCACAGAGATCCTCAATATAGTTTAAACATATTCATTATTGAATACAACATAATTAGATCAATAAAATTGCCATCTCCAATGTGCCATCTCTTATGTGCTCTTATGCATGGTCATGTTTACGTATGAGCAGTACCTATGACTTTGTACGTGCATTATAAAATCGAAATAAATAAATGTTCTATATTTATCAAACTGTTCTTTAATAACGATTTCTTTCTTTATTGTTTTTTTTTTCTCTTGCTCCCTTCATCCTATGACAAATATTTCCATTTCTGCATTCATGAAAATACACTGCATTCATGAAGAAATAAAAAATCCCTTTGCACAATTTTTTTTGCACTAACTACACTAAAGAAATGGGTGGTGTAGATGATGATAAAATGAATCAGACAGTAGCTGCTTATCGCATTTAATGATTGGCGTCCGATTTTTGCACATCTCCTTGATGTTTTGGTAAGGAATCACACGTTGAAAGGTAAGACCTCATTAGTCCTTAGCTCGCACAAGTTTCTCAACTTCTTAGAGTTGTCGTTCGTATGGGTGCAACAGCTGATTAACGGAAAAACAGATTTTTTTAACAGATTCTTGAAGCTGAGGTTACTACCAAAATATAAAATAGTACATATCGGTTTCCAACTCGTGGCACTGTGGCATCAAGAGGAAATACAGTATCATTATATTTCGGATAATATCAGATATGATGGGATCAATCATCTTACAACAGAACGCAGATACTCTTTTAGTGGAAAATGCAACTTAGGGATACTTCCTAGAATCTTAGAGATTATCATACGAAGTAATATTATTAATTACCTTTTTTTGTTTTTGTTATGTGTATAAGGAACCTTTGTAATATACACATTTTTAAAAAAAAATTAGAACTGAAAAAAATCTGATGGTTTTACTTCATATATATATATATTCTTCCGA